GGAGATCCCACAGCCGTTGTCCTGTGCCCGGCTGCTGTCACTGAGCATCGCGTGCCCTGGGCCCCCCTCCGTGCCAGTCAGGATTCGGTCGTTGCACGGGCAGACCCGCTGGGCTCGGCCTCCATCTGTCGGTGCAGCGGGGTTGGCTTCTCCCCTTAAGGGCTGCGAAAACGGGCGCAGAGGTGCCCGAGTGCACTTCCAGCCCTCCAGGTCGTACACCTAGCAGTGGGACCCGGGTCGCGCCAACTCGCCCAGTGCTGTGGCCGGCACGGAGGGAGGAGCACCGTCCGCCACACAGTGCAGCGTCACTGCGGGCCCCTCGTGTGCCCCTCCTCGGGTTCAGGGAGTTTCCTTCTTCTGGCATAAGTCCGTGTACCGTTCCGCGTCAGTCAGGAGGATGTGCTCTTACGCCTTCGTCCACAGCCTATCTCAGCCCATTTAAGCTGCTGTAATAAATGGCCACAGGTGGGACCTCCAACAGTGGACATTCATCCCTCAGTTCTAGAGGCTGGGAGTCCAAGGTGAGGGGCCAGCCCGCGGGTCACGGGTGAGCCTCTTCCTCACTGACAGATGGCCGTCCGCACGCTGGGTCCTCGCAGGGTAAAGAAGGGCGGCGTGTATCTTCCATCTCTTCTTACAAGGTCACATGTGCCATCATGAGGTTGCGCTCCCATGGCCTGACTGCCTCCCAACAAGCGGCCTCCAGACTCCGTCCCACTGGGGATGGGGGCTTCGTGTATGAATGTGGGGCACGCAGACGCCCGTTCCTGGGGCTGCCCCTGCGTGGCTGTGGCGCCGGGTCCTTGGAACGTGCTGGCTGTGGCTTGCGAGCCTTCTCTGGAGGACGTGCACATCTTCTACTACTACAGGCATGTCAGCCTGTAGTTGTCTTTCCCTGTAGTGTCTGTCTGTGTTTTTGGTATCAGGGCAATACTGGTCTCAAAATAAATGAGTAAGTGCTCCCTGTTTTCTAGAAGTTTGAGAAGGGTTTGTGTGACTCCTTCTCTAAATGTTTGATCGAATTCACCAGTGAAGCCATCAGGTCTTGGGCTTTTCTTGTTTGGGAGGTTTTGGATTAGTAATTCCATATCCTTACCATATTCTTACCAGATATAGAACTACCTAGATTTTCTTTTTTCTTGAACTGCTCTGATGTTTTTAGGAATTTGCCCATTTCACCTAAGTTATTTAATTTATTGGCATGTAATTGTTCATTGTATTCTCTTAGTCTTTTACTTCTGTGATCAGTAATGATGACCCCATTTTGATTTCTGATTTTAGTGGTGTCTTTTCTTTTTGTCAACGTATCTTAGTTTGTCGATTTTGTTGATCATTTCAGAACCAACTCTTTGTTCCATCAACTCTCCTTAGTTTCATTTATCTCTGCTCTAAACATTATTTCCTTCCATTCTGCTAACTTTGGTCTTGTTTTCCTATTTCCTCAGGTATATTAGGTTATTGATTTGAGATTCTAATTGATATGTGACATATAACATATTCACTTCAGTAATGATTTGATATTTGTGTATCAGATACCACAGGAACGCCAGTCATCGTCACCACAGTGACGGGGGACTCTTTGCGATGAGAGAGCGGCTCTTTAACGTTGGCATCTGCAGCTACAGGCCTGTGAGCGGCTCTGCCGCGCTGTGCGCTTGTGTCAGTTTATAATTTCTTTTGGGATCCCTTGGTTGGACCCATTGGTTGTGTGTTCACATTGCCTGTGAATTTTCCAGTTTTTCTTGTGATTTCTAGTTTCATTGCATTGGGGCTGGAGAAGGTATCAGTCCTTTCAAACGGTTTAGAACGTGTGGCCTACCGTGGTCTGTCAGGGAGTCTGTGCCTCAGACAGTGTGTGGCTCCCGTGGGACAGAGTGCTGTGATCTAGTTGGTTTAGGGTTGTTCAGGTTTCCTGTGTCCTTGATCTTCCATCCAGACATCGTACCCATTTTTTTGTTTTGTGTTCTTAATCCATGGGGATATGTTTATTGATTTTAGAGAGGGGGAAGAGAAACATCAATGTGAGCAACATCAGTTGGTTGCCTCCCATAGGCACCCTGAGTGGGGGTTGAACCTGCAACCTGGGCATGTGCCCTGATGGGGTGGGAGGTGGGTTGAACCCGCAGCCTTTGGCGAACAGGACGGTGCTTCAACCGACCGCCTGGCCAGAGCATCCTGCCCACTGCTGAGTGGACCGTGACTGCTGCGTCCCCCTTACGTTGGGTGGGTATCCGCCCTGCGTGTTCTGGAACTCCCGTCCAGGGTGTGTGTGTTCATACCATGCATTCAAGGAGATGATACATAGAAGGCTTTTCTTTGTCTTTTATACATTTTTTTAACCTGAAGCCTATTTCATCTGACATTAGAGCCACTTGGCTCTTTTAGGTTATTTGCACAGGATACTTTTTCAACTTACTCAAGTCCAGTCTTAGAGACAAGGGGTAGTTGGATCTTTTAAAAATCCATCCTGCCAGTCTCTGCCTTTTGATTAGTTTAATTCATTTACTTTTAAAGCAACTGCCGATGAGGAAGCGCCTCTGCCACTTTTCTGTCCGCCTCATCTCACACCGTCTTGCCCCTTGTTCTCGCCATTACTGCACTCGCGTCGAGCCGACCCTTGGGGTGGCACGCTGTGTCGATTCCCTTCTTGCTTCCTTTTGTGTGCGTTTTCTGGATGTCTCCTTAGGGGCTGTGGTATGTTCTTACATGTCAGACTTAGGACTCCCGGCGTCCGCCACACTGGACCTCCTGCCGGGGCTCGTGGCTGCCGCAGCTCCTGAGGGCCTGGGCCGCCGCGGGCCTGCACCCCCGCACCCACTCGAGAGAGGCAGGACTGGGGCTGGAGGCGCTGCCGCGTCCAAGTGGCACTGGGTGGCAGGCGGGCAGGGCCTAGGCTGAGAGGACAGCACCACAGGAGGGACACGTGGGGCCCAGCCTCCGCCTCCCGGCACCCAGAGCAGCTGTGTGTTGCAGGTGCTGACTTCACAAACACCTTCTCCCTGCTGAGCTCCTTCCCTGTGGGGCAAGAGCCTGGGGACCTGGCCGAGTTCCTGACTGCACTGACCGAGCAGTGTGCCTCCCTGGAGGAGCTGAGGCTCGCCTTCCGCCCCCAGATGGATCCCCGGTGGGTGCTCAGGTCTTGCGTCCTTGGATGTGGCTTCCAGAAAGGGAGACCCTTTGGAAGAGAGCACGTGGGGGGACGTGCACATTGGGAGGTTTGCTACAGAGGCTGGGGGCCCGGTGGCCACTCTGCTCCCTGGAACAGCGACGGTTGTGGACAGGACAGTGCTGCCACCACGGGGAAGCTGGGCACAGGGGCTGCGGGCGCCATTTCTGCCCTGGGCGGCCTCCCAGCCCCGCCCTCAGGCCACGCCAGCTGTGCTTTCTGCCCCACCTCCCCCTGGGAAGAGCATGAATGTCCCCAGGGTACAGCCCCTGCCTCAGGACAAGACACAGGAGGTAGGGTTGTGGGTTTTGACAAACAAGCCAGCAGACTGTGGTCAGAGGGGAATTTAGTGCAGCGGTGTGGGGAGTGGGCTGAGGGCTCTGGGCCCACTGGGAGGACCGGCTGGCAGCCCGTCCCTGACAGCGACCTCCCAGGTAGTCAGTGCTGGGTTGGGACAGAGGTGGGTGCCAAGCAGCAGAGATGGTGCGCAGCCCCTGGTCTCTGGGACCCAGGTGGTCCCACACCCCAGGGGTCCACCCAAGTCCATGGCGTCGGCTCCTTGGGTGCAGCTGTGTCCTGTCATGCAGAGGGACCGCTGAATGAGCGAGGGGGGACACCTGGCAGCTGCCCCGGCATCCGCCATGCCCCTCGGGCCTGGGCTCCCTCTCTGTTCAGACTGTAGGCAGAGGCAGCAGGGCAGCTGAGGCCATTTCCTCCTCTGAGACAGTCGCTGAGGGGCCCAGCGGCCCCAGGCCACAGTCCACGGCCAGGAGTGGGGACATGGCTGCCTTCTGGACACTCCCACCCCCATCCCCAGGCAGCTCTCCATGATGCTGATGCTGGCGCAGTCAAACCCGCAGCTCTTTGCGCTCATCGGCACCCGGGCCAATATCACAAAGGAACTGGAGCGTGTGGAGCAGCAGTCGCGGCTGGAGCAGCTGAGCCCGGCTGAGCTGCTGGACAGGAACAGGAGCCACTGGGCCGCCTGGCTCCAGGAGTACCGGTGAGGCCAGCCCGCGGCCCAGGGGCAGGGGTGCGGACCGCCTGTGGCACCATCCCTCGGGGACCAAATGGAGGAGGGGTGGGGGCTGCAGCTGCGGTGAAGTTGGGCTTGGGTGTGATTCCAGAGCCAGGCTGGAGAAGGACAGGGACGGTGCCGGCGACGCCGACGCCTGGCAGGCTGAGCGCATGCGTGTCATGCACGCCAACAACCCCAAGTACATCCTGCGTAACTACATCGCACAGAACGCCATCGAAGCTGCAGAGAATGGAGATTTTTCAGAGGCAGGGACTCTCCCATCCTCACCTGTCCCTGGGTCCCCGGGGGGGCAGGGGGCTGTGGGGGACAGGTCACCCCCAACAACCTCCCCCTTGCTCCACTCCAGGTGCGGCAGGTGCTAAAGCTGCTGGAGGCCCCGTACCAGAGGGACGGGGAGGCCGCCGAGGCCCCGGAGGCCGCCGAGCCTGAGGGGCCCAGCAGGGCAGCGGAGAGGCGGCGCGCCTACAGCAGCAAGCCCCCGCTCTGGGCAGCAGAGTTGTGTGTGACTTGATCCTCGTAGCCGCCTCGGGGACCTCCACGCTGGGAGGCCCCGAGGCCCCAAGTTCCGCCGAGTCCACGAGGCGGCGCCCCGCCCGCAGCACAAGCCCACAGCCCGTCTCTCCATGACGACAGCGACGCCCAGTCAGGACCTGACCCGTCTCTGCCCGACACTGACTCGGCCACCCGGCACATCCCCGCAAGAAGCTGGACCGCACCGAGGCCAGCTCAGCAGGGGGCCCGGGCCCAGGAGGACACAGCGTGGCTCCCGCGCGGCAGGGAGCCAGCTCCTCAATAAAACAGCAGCTTCCACAGCCCCTCTGTGTGGTCATTCGGCCCTGGCCTGCAAGGGGACCCGCCCAGGAGAGGCCCCTTCCCGCGGCACCCACCTGGGTCCCGCGGGGCGGGCCTCAGGCGTCCTGGTAGTAGTTGTTGAAGTTGATGCGCAGGAGAAAGTCCTCCAGGTGGGGCTGGTAGCCGCGGTTCACCAGCTTGGTCACCACTGCGGGAGGGGCAGTGAGTGTGGGGGGCAGCGAGTGCAGGGGCTGCTGGGTGGGCCCCGCCCCCCTGCCCCAACACCCACCCAACGGGGGTGCAGCTCACCTTTAAAGAGGAAGTGTGAGTAGTACTTGAAGGTGTTGTAGGACTGTTGCATGAGAGCAAAGTTGGGGTGCTCGGCGCCTCGGGGGCCGCTGGCTGGGCCCCAGGGCTGGGAGATGAGCTGGCTGCGGAACTTGAGGACCAGACTGAAGACGCTGTGGATGATGTTCATGACAGGCGCCGCCTTCTCCGTCAGCAGGCCCCTGGGGAGCAAGGGCCAATGCCGCAGGTGGGCGACGCAGCCCCACGGCAACACTGCCTGCCTGTCTCCCTGGTGCCCACGCTCACCTGAAGACGGCCTTGTGCAGGTACTCGGCATGGGCGCGCTGGATCTCCTCAAGGTCGCCCACCGCGGCCAGCCGGGCCCGGAACTCGCACCAGGTGACGTGCAGGATCTGGTTGGCGATGTAACCCTGGATGACCTTCACGAAGTGCTGCATCTCGTGCTTGAACAGCTGCAGCTGCCGGAACTGCACAGAGCCGGCCGCGGGGCTCACCAGGGCTGCACAGAGGGCAGGGGTGAGCCGTGGGCACCGGGGCCGCCGCCAGAAGCTGAGGGGCGCAGGCTCGGCCAGGCCTCACCTGAGCGCTTGAGGTGGAAGCAGACGTCCTTGAGTGTCCACATCATGAGCTTCAGCTGCAGCAGGAAGGAGAAGATGCCGCTGTACCTGCTCAGGCAACTCTCGGTGATGATGATATTGAGGGGCCAATCAACCTGCAGGGAGTGGGGGGGCGGTTCAGCTCAGCGGACCTGCAGGGCAGCCCAGCCCGCCCACGCCGTGAGCTCTGCTGACCTTGTACCGGAGCTCCAGGCAGCTCAGCACGTCCGGGGCGTTGGGGACAAAGGCTTCGGGCAGGAACTTTAGGGCGAAGGAGAGGTTGGCGGCGAGCGGAGAATCGCCGTGCAGGCTGTACTGCAGCGCCTTGCGCAGCACCGTGTTGAGCACCAGCGGGTTGAGCAGCTCCCCAGGTGTCTGCCCCGCACCCAGCTGTGGAGGCCATGGGCACAGGGTTGGTGGCGGTCCCTGGGTCCCACCGTTCCGTGGTCCCGCCTCCCTACCACCCCGTGGCCCACCCGGACTCACCTTCTCAAAGAGCAGGTCGCTCAGGGACTGCGCGAACTCGCCGTCCTCCATCAGCAGGAAGTGCCGCAGCGCCTCGAAGTGCGCCTCCAGCTGCAGCTCGACGAAAAAGTAGTCCACGGCGGCCTTGTTCACCAGGGAGACGCTAGCGGAGGGGCCGCCGGGTCAGCAGGGCAGGGGGTGGGGCGGGCGGGGGTGGGGGGCTGGCCAGGGGGTGGGGCGGGCACTCACTGGGCCGCCAGTGGCGCGGTGACCGAGCGCTTCATGAGCACCGGCAGCGGCAGCAGTTCGCTCAGCTGCGCAGCAGTCTCGTCTGTGGTCTCATCCCCAGCCGAGGGGCCTTGGGTGTCCTCGGGGAGGGCAAAGGCCCGGGGTAGCCCATGGTGCAGGAGGCGCGCAACAGGAGGTTCTGCTGCAGGGACAGCACAGCCTGCTGTGCACCTGGGCCCTGGCCAGCCGGCCCGCCCGCCCGCCCACTGGCCTCGCCTGCCACTCACACATGGCCTCGTAGCTGTCTGGGTACTGCTCCAGGCGGTACTGCCGCACCAGGCCTGCCAGGTAGGCCTGCTCCCTGTCCAGGCGCCTGGCCACTGCCCCCTCCTCCACCTCCTCGCTGAGGTTCGGGCTGCTCTGGCCAGCAGCACCTTCCTGAAACAACCTGGCCTTAAGACACCCACTCCTTCCCTTGTCCAAAATGGGCAGGGCAGGTGGCTCATTGCCCACACAAGGCCAGGGCGGGGTGGCCAGCACAGCATGCTCCCCACCCGAGTCCCACCTCATCCACCCTGACCTGTGGGCTCAAGGGCCAGTTGGGAGAGCAGTCCTTAGTGTCCTCATTCCTCCCTGGGCCTGAGTGACACACACAGACCAGAAGGGCCGTCAGGGTCAAGTGCCTGCTGCTGGGCGGCACCTCCCTGTCCCCGGGACAGACCTCTCCCTGTCCTCCCTGGCCCCCTTGGACCCACAGCCGCCACCAGTGACAGCTCGGAGGGCCCGCTGACCTGGCCCATCAGGGATGCCGTCTTCCAGAGGAACGGGTGTGGCCAAAGCTGAGGGCAAGGCCTGGAAGCCACTTCCTTCCCCTCCCCCGGGGCTGGGGCCCGCCGTGGGGGCACACGGGCTGCCTGAGGGTGGCCCTGCCAGGGGCTCTGACTCCCCTTCCCAGACAGGACTCCGCACTTCCAGGCCGGGGCTCGACTGGGACACGCCGGTCGGGGCGCTCTGTGGGGGCCTGGGCGCGGCCTCCCCTGGGGGCACCCCCAGCATCACCTGGGACTGAGACACGTGGCCGGGGACGGTCCCCCGGGGCCGGGGGGGCGCCACGTCCCACACGTTCTCCCCCACCCTGATGCTGGCGTCCGACACGTGGCCGTGGACGGTCCCCCGGGGCCGGGGGGGCGCCACGTCCCACACGTTCTCCCCCACCCTGATGCTGGCGTCCGACACATGGCCGTGGACATTCCCCCGGGGCCGGGGGGGCGCCACATCCCACACGTTCTCCCCCACCCTGATGCTGGCGTCCGACACGTGGCCGTGGACGTTGCCCCGGGGCCGGGGGGGCGCCACGTCCCACACGTTCTCCCCCACCCTGATGCTGGCGTCCGACACGTGGCCGTGGATGTTCCACCGGGGCCGGGGGGTCACCACGTCCCACACGTTCTCCCCCACCCTGATGCTGGCGTCCGACACATGGCCGTGGACCTTCCACCGGGGCCGGGAGAGGGCTGTTCCGCAGGCAGAGCCCCCTGTGAGAACACCATCCTCCAACACAGGCCCAAGAGGCTGCCCCGTGGCCTGGCCGCTCCCCTCCTGCGGGGGGCTGTCCCTGGGCAGGCGTGCACAAGGCTGAGCGGCCCGCCCGACCGTGACGCAGGTGTCCGGCTGCATGTCAGTATCCCGCCACAGCTGCAGCCCCTCGCAGCTCCAGCTGCCTCCGATAGCCGGGGGGGGCCCTGGGGGGGCCGAGGTGGCCACCGCGGGCCTCAGGACGGATCGGAAATCGTACTCCTGTGGCCCCGAGCGCCCCGCATCTGCCGCTGGAGATGACGCCGAAGGGGGCAGGTCTGAGCCGATGGTCTGCAGTGCCTCCTCCAAGACAGAGGCCGCACCCGTGTCCGCAGGCTGCTCGGCACCCTGGCCCGCGGGCAGGAAATCCTGGAGGCTGAGGCCTGCAGAGAACAGCTGCGGCCCTGCTCCCCGCCCCGAGCCGCAGGCCCCCACGGCTGGGGGCTCCAGGGGCTCCGGCGCCGGCCCGCTCGGCCCGCTCGGCCCCGCACACCCGGAGTCACAGCCGCCGCCTCCATCGGGGGGCTCGGGACCCGAAGACGAGATCTGAAACACGGGTGCACAGGGCCCCTCTGGTTATCTGGCTCTGCCCCCAGTTCAGTTCTGCAACCAGCACCAAACCCATCGAGTGGGGGCAGTGGAGACATGGGACGGGCATCCACTGTGCTCCCTGGGCGACGGAGGCCCACGCGCCCCCCTCAGCCGCGGGCTACACGCCCTGGGTCCTGCCCCGGCCCCTCACCTGGGAGCCTGCGCTCGGGAGGATGCTGGGCAGCGCTGGGGGCTTTCCCTCGGACACGGCTCTCAGCATGGCCTGAGATTCAATTAGCAGGATGGGAGGCGGCAGCTGCGTTGGGGGAGCCGACCCCACACTCGACCCAGAAGACCCGGCCCAGCACCTCCACGCCTGCCAGCGGCCACTGCGGCGAGGCACGGCCTGGCGGCACCGGGCCCTCGGCCTGCGCTGCACCCGCAGCCTCTCCCAGCCACGCCCCCAAGCCCCCCCACCCAGGAAGGGCGCGCAGATCTGCGCGGTTTCAGGGGATTCCGAGACCCCGGGCCTGGGAAGAGCCGCCCTGGCGCCCACCTGAATGCGCTCCTGGTCTGCTAAGAGGAAGCGAGCCCGCGCGCTGGCCAGCCGGTGCCTCTGGACCTTCCACAGCGCCTTCTGCTCCCGACGCGCTGCCTCTGCAGACAACTTGCTATAATGGTCAACCAGCGCCTGCCTGAAGCCACATCCAGAGCGGACTGGTCACCAGTCACCCCACACCGCCCAGCTGTCTCCCCACGGGGATGGCTCTCTGTGACAGAGGTCCCAGTGGGTGGTCTGCACAGTCGGGCACCTTCCCCAGGCCACCAGCTGGTCCCTCTGCGCCCCCCCAGCTCCAGCAGAGGCCCCACCAGGGCAGCGCCCAGCCGGGGCCTGCAGAGCGGCCACCAGGACAGGCCCTGCACAGCCAGCGGTGCCAGCCCTGTGGACAAGGCCTCCTCCTCCGCTGCACAGAGAGGAGGACAATGTCTAGCCTCATGCACCGACAGGCACACACCGCGTGTGCACACAGAAACACGCGGACGCGTGTGCACATCATTCTGGCTCCAAGTCCCAGCTCGACACAGTGTCCGAGGCCTGACGGCCGAGGCTGTGAGCAGAAAGGGGCAGCCCCTCCCACGGGGCAGACGTTCTGCGGTGGCGAACGGGCACCTGCACAGGCCACAGTCCTCGTCCCCGACCCCTGCGGCCCAGCAGGGGCCTGGAGGGGACACGACTGCTTGCAAATTGTCAAAATGAAAAGCAAAACGACATCGCGGGACCCAATGAGCCACGAGGCCCGCCGTGCCCTCACCCGAGGAGAGTCGCGTCGGCGCGGCCGCGCCGCCCTACCTCGCCTTCCTCTCCAGCTGCTCCTCCAGGGCCTTCAGCCTCCTCTCCCGGTCTCGGAGCTCGCGGGCGTAGCTGAAGTCCTCGTCCAGCTCCTCCTGCCTGGCTGCCCGGCGGCGCTGCAAACACCCCACATGCAGCCTCACCGGCCAACCCGCCCCGGGCCCACCCCCCTCAGTGCCAGCAGCCTAGCTACCTCCTGGTCCTTCACAAACTGCTCCTTCAGCCTCTGAAACTGCTCTCGCTTCCGGGCGTCCAAGGCCATCCGTTCAGACATCTGCCGATCTGCAAGGAGACAGCGAGCGCGCTGGTGTGAGGTGCCCTGCAGGCGGCCCCAGAACCACAGCACGAGGACCTGGGCCACACGCACCGCTCAGCGCACTTAAGACCCTGGACGCAGCTTCCCGGGCCTGGACGATTAACTCCTGTTTAGCAATTTCCATGCGTAATTCCTGCAAAAGACCATCAGTGAACACACCCCAGCCCTCTGTCCCCTCCCCCAGGCCGGATGGCCTGAAAGGGGGCTCCTCAGACCCCAGGTGGCTCCTCTGAGGACAGCACCCGAGCTGTGAGGGAGGCACCCCGTCCGAAGCAGCGACAAGGCAGGCGCCCCGGGCAGCCAGCGGGCCCGAGTGTGCTCCCCCCGCAGGGGACCAAGGGGCTGGGGCAGCGGCTGCCCTGGGCGGACAGAGGGCCAGCCCCCTCCCCAGCGCCCAGCCAGCCCAGGGAGAAGAGGCTGGAGCCCCTGCCCTGGGCACCCCCACCCACGGGGCAGAGACCACCAGAGGTAGCAATGGCTCGTGCCGCCTGGGGTGGGGGGTGGGTGAAGGGCGCCCCGGGGCGGGGGCCCGCGCACCTTCTCCTCCTTGCTGACAGAGCTGTGGCGCGCCACCCTCTCCATCCGCCCCACGTAGACAGCGCAGTCCTTCTCGATCTCCTTCAACTCCTCAAGGGAGAAAATCACCGAGATCCGGGGGACGGGGACATCAGACCAGCAGAGGTAGTGCTGCCAAGGAGGGAGGGCCCACCGTGAGCCGGTGACGCGTGGCTCCACACCCAGCTCTGCTTCCCTGCTCCTGGTCACCCACGTGGACAGGTCATTCCTCCACCAAGGGGCAGCCCCCCGCCACGGCCCCGGGGACACCAGCCAGGCTGTGGGGGGCCCCCACCTGGGCCCCGCCCCCTGCAACAAGGGCACGCCTGGCGCCTCAGGCAGCCTGCGAGGAACTGGAGGCCCGGAGCCTCCCTCCGCAGCAGCCACGCACGGGGCTCGGCCCACGCAGGCAGACTGGGCCCTGCCCCCCGGCCTCCCCCAGACCCTCAGCTGCCGCCGGCCAGCCGCCCGGGCAGCTCCTGGGCGCCGCCTGCCCCGTGCTCCCCGGCACAGCCCCTGTACCTGTCCCGCTGCCCGAGGCTGCGCTCAGCCCAGCACTAGAGGGCACCATTAGCCGCCGGCTGAGCCCGGCACCCCCTGCCCCGACCCACGCTGCCCCTGGCCTGGCATCCACCCTCTGCTCCTGCTGTCGGGCGCCCCGGGTCCACGCGGCTGGCCCTCCTGCCTCTCTGCTCAGACACTGGACGGCAGCTCCTGGCCAAGGCTGCCCGTCCACCCACGCCCTCCCCCTGCCACCTGGGCCTGGGTCACAGGGACGCTGGCACAGGCCTCGGCCCAGGGCACGGCCAGCCCCCGGGCCAGGAGACACAACTCCCTGCGCCGGCCTGGTCCGTCCTCTGCAGCCACGGGCCCCCACCTGCTGGGCGTCCGCCCACGAGGAGGAGGGAGGAGAGGGGCCCACGGCCCCTCCGCCACAGGGCGCCTTCGATGCTCCTGTCGTTGAGGAAGTGCCCAGAGACAGGAGCCCCCCGCACAACTCTCGGGGCACTGAGGGAGACGCCCCCACGCCCCCAGCTCCAGCGTGCTGACCCGGAGCTCGGACGAATGGCCAGGTCTCAGGGACGGGGGCGGCACTTCTGAACCTCAGCCCCCAGGGGCCAGAGGGACGAGGGCGCCTGCCGCAGGCACGCCCGGGGGCCGCCTCACCCGGGGACAGCAGAGCCTCAGCAGGTTGATGGTTTTCCCGCAGACGTAGACATCGTGGGCGATGTGCTTCAGGAACGCGGGCACGCAGTCCTCCGCCTCCTTGGAAATGAGCGCGTAGCCGTGGGTCCAGTAGGACTTGTCTGAACATGGGGGGGGACACACAGCTGGCCCGCGTCCAGGACCGCCCCACCTGCCTGACGGCCCAGCCCCGCAGCCAGCGCCCCTACCTCTGCAGCCCAGGTACTCGTGGTTCACCTGGATCATGAACTCGCCGTAGGCGTCCCTGAAGACCCCGCTGTACACCCAGTCGTGAATAAACCTGCCAGGGCGGGCGGGCCAGCGGTGAGGCGGCACGGCGGGCACCAGGCGGGGTGGTCTGCCCAGGGGGCCAGGTCCGAGCCGCCCACCCCCCAGGCTCTGTGGGTGCCTGAGCTGAGGCTGGGTGCGGCCCCACCCCCTACCGCGTGTAGGGCCGGCAGCTGGTCTTGAGCAGGGACAACAACACCGGGTAATGCTCGTTGCTGCGGTTGCCCAAGGCCTCCTCGTAGAGGTAGGACAGCAGCTTCACCCCCTGGAGGCGGCAAGGAGAGGGGGCTCGATGCAGCGCAGGGCTGAGTGCGACCTGAAGCCCCACCCAGGAGGCCATGCCCGGCCTCACCCTTCCCCGCAGCAGGGAACTCACAGTGGGGAAGACAGTCTGGGGCTCTCCTTCGCAGGTGCCAACGCCACAGAGCTCAGCCAGGTACCTAGACACGGAGGCCAGGGACAGTCGGTGAGCGGGGACCGAGGCCCCCCAGGCCAGGTGAGAGCAGGTGAGCCCAGTGGGCCCCAGGCCCCTCCCCACGGGACATCATGCTCAGCTTCAAAACCAGCTGCACCTCAAGGACCGCAGCTCCTGGCCGGTGCCGGCCCACTGCCCCCGCATCCCCACCTCCTTCTGAGGCCCCGGCAGGGCCCCGGCACACGGTGCTGACCCTCCCCGCACATGGCCCTACCAGGGGACCTCGAGACCGGGCTGTGCCTCCACCACCTCACCCAGTGCCGCCTCCTCTGGCCAGGACGACAGCTCAGCCCCTCAGGCCCCTTGTCCTGTCCCTGGAGTCCACAGAGCGGCACAGCGCCCCCAGGCCCCCAGGCCCCCCCTGGCCCGCCTCCGCCCTCGGGGCCTCCACACTCGCCACCCCCCACCCCCGCCACCTGGGAGGCCTCCTCTCCCCCTGAACTCGCCTCCCCGGGGCCCGCAGCCCCTCACTCTCTCCTCCGGGTGGCCCGTGGCGCCACTCGCCTGGGGTCGCTCACGGGTCCCCCGGTGCCGGCCAGGTCTGTGGGGCCCTGAGCCCCGCCATGGCGGGCCACGGGCAGGCACACCCGGCGCCCAGCCCTGGGGGACCCAGCTGGTGCAGGGGCCGGCCAGCGCCGACCAGGAGGGCTGCTCTCCGCGCCCCCGGGCTGGGCCCTGGGCCTGGCTCACCTGAGCTGCCGGCCCAGCTTCTTGAAGAGAAAGCCGATGGCGAGGAGGCTCAGGGTGGGCGGGGTGGAGAGGACGCAGGCCCGGTAATACTGCAGGTACCGCCTGAGGCCGCTGGTGAAGGCCTGCGGGGCAAGGGGACGGGCGTGGCCGCCACCCTCCCGACCACCGCGAGGGAAGGGGCACCCGCGGCCACGCCCAGACACCCCCCAACCCCCACAAGGACCCAGGCCCGGACCGGCCACGACCGGGGACCCTCTCGGAAGGGCAGCTGGGCATCGCACACAGGCCCAGCTCTGGGGGGGTCTCCGGCCGCTCGGTCCGCGGGGGCCTCAGGAGTGGTGTGTCCAGGAGGCGGCCGGCCCGCCCCCGTGACCCAGGCGCAGGGAGGCCCTGCCCACACCAGCCCTCCTCTGCTGACCGCCCCGGCCCGGTCTCCGGCCCGCACGCCTGCCCTCACCGCCCGCCCCCGTCAGTGCCCCCAGAGCGGCCTGCGCAGCAGGGTGCCCATCCCTCCCCCGAGGCTGCACCGCTGTCCCGGGGGACGGCACCCAGCGCAGGGGCAGCTGGGAGGCTTTCAGGGAGACCTGGCTGCGCCCTGGCTCCTGGAACTCAACTCGCCGAATGAGGGAGGCCCTGTGTCGACCGTCACACAACTCGCTGGGGACCCATGGGGAGAGCAGTGTGTGCCCCCGATACCTCCTGGGCCTCGCCCCAGGTCCCCGACTCGGGGCCACGCCTGCCTCCCACTGTCCTGCGGCCCACACGTGTCTGCCCAGTCCCCAGGGCCGCGTCGACGGTGACGTGTCCCGCTCCTGGAGCACAGCCATCGGGCCTCAGACAGAGGACGAGCGGGGCGTCCGCAGCGCTGGGGGAGGACAGGGAGGGCTGCGGGGCCCTGCGCAGGCCCAGGCCTACCTGGAACACGAGCCCCTTGCTGCATGAGGCGTCCAGCACAGGCTGCAGGGAGAAGTGGCTCAGGCGCGCGTAGTGAGTCCCGCACTCGGCCACCTCCGAGAGGAGGCTGCTGATGCTCTCAGGGGACGTCCCTAAGACATGAATGCCCCGCTTCACCATGAAGGCCTGGGTCAGCTGGAGAGGGCAGAGCAGAGGTCACCAAGGCCGGCCACCCAGGCCCCTCTGGCCACGCGCCCACCACAGCCCTGCCCAGGCCGCCCAGAGACGGGCCCAACCCGAGACGCACAAACAGGAAGCTCCGAAGGCGAAAAGCACACCCAGCTGCCCTGCCACCAGCGAGGGAAACACAGCACAAAGTGCCACTTCTCACTGGCCACGCTGCAGAACCCACATACGAAACGTCCAGCCACCCGTGGGAAGGACGGGGAGGTGGGGGGAGACAGAGCGCCCTCCGCACCACAGGGGAAGGGCACACGGAGCAACGTGCCTGGGGCAGAAGCGTTTGAAAAGGGCCACCGGCTCTGGAGACCTGACTCCCGGGGCCGTGTCGGTGGGAGTGAGGACGACCCACACAAGTGCCTGCCCCAGCACGCTCGCCCTCATGTTTCCGGGGGACTTGGGCCCAGCGCTTGGGGCGCGGGGGCTGCAGGGTTCCCAGCAAGGTCTGCAGCCCCGGCTGGTGCAGCTCAGCGGGCCCAGCGCCCGCTTCCCGGTCAGGGCACCGGCCTGGGTGGCAGGCCAGGTCCCCAGCAGGGGGCGCATGAGAGGCAGCCACACACGATGTTTCTCTCTTTCTCCCTCCCTTCCCCTCTCTGAAAATAAATAAAATTTTTAAAAATCTATTTTAAAAAAAAAGAAAGTTTACAGCCCAAGTACTTACATTCAAAAGAAGGTCACAAACCAGCAGCTGTACTGCACACCTTAAGAAACTAGAAAAAGCAGTAAACTAAACCCAAACGAGAAGGAAATAACAAAAATTAAAGCAAAATAAATAAAAGAAACTAGGAACAATAAAAAGAATCATGAAACCAAAAGTGGGTTCTTTGAAAAGATCAACAAGGACAAAAGACAACTTAAGAAAAGAGAGAGAAGGCGCAAGACGCTGGAGTCAGAAATGAAGGAGGGCGTCCCCGCTGACCCACAGAGCACACGCGGCCGTAAGAGGCCACCACCAGCAGCTGTTCGCCAACACACCCGACAGCCCGGGCGCAGCCGGCACCTTCCCGGAAACACGCACCGTCCACGCCGACTCGAGAGGGAGCGGAAACCAAACCCCCTGCGGGCGAGGCCCGCGAGGCCGGATCGCGGCCGCCCCACAACCCTGCGCACACGGCCCCACAACCCTGCGCACACGGCCCCACAACCCTGCGCACACGGCCCCACAGTGCGGCCGCTGCCACCGCGCCCGGGAGCCGCCAGCAGCCCCACCGACCACTCCCCTCTCAGGAACCCTGGGACCCGGACCGCTGACCCCCCCGAGTGACCCCAAAGCTCCTCTCCTGTACCCGAGTTCCCGCCGAGAACCAGGGAACCCTAGGCCTCCCCACTGCTGAGCCCAGGGGAGGCAGAGCCCCAGGCCCCCTTCCCAGGACCTCGCCTGCGGCCCCGCCCGTGGTGGGCCCCCTCGGAGGCCTGCGAGGGGTACGCCGTGCTCTTCCAAGTCCCCGGAGGGCTCTTGCTGAGGTGCGTGAGTGTGCCGTGGGGGCTGCCACATGCCCACGCGGGCCGAGTGCCTGCTCAGCCATCCCAGGCAGCAGCGCCGCTGCCGGCAGGCAGCGATCAGCGCGCCTCACGACACGTTAGAATGACCGAGGGGATGTGTACCTTGCTGCAACTGAAAGAAAATAAAAGCAGCCAAAACCTCCCAACAAAAAAACCCCAGAGCCAGGGGGTTTCACTGGTGACTTCTACCAAACAAAGAATTAACAGATTGTTCTCAACTCTTTCAAAAATACTGAGGAGGAGCAGTCCCTAATTCTCAGAGGCCAGTACTATCCCAAATCAAAGCCGATAAATACATTCCAAGGCAGAAAACGACAGGCCAATACCCCTTAGGAACACAGATGCAACATCCTCAGTCAGGTGCTAACACACCAGGTCCAGCCACGTACTGAGAGGACCACGCCCATGATGAAGTCAGTTTTATTTCAGGAACAGCAGGACGGCTCAACGTGGGAAAATCAATCGCTGCAATGCACATGGGTAGGCTGACGGAGAACATCGCGATTGCCTCAGCTGATGCACAAAACACACACCTGACCAAGTCCAGCACACTTTTACAATAGAGCCAAAGAAACCAGGATGGGAGGGGAGCATCTCGCAGCAACTGGACCTGCCAAGGCTCACATCGCAGCTGGTGGCCGTGGACTGAGGGCCTGTCTGCAGGACCAGGAACAAGGCCAGGGAGCCTGCGTGCACCACTTCTGTTCACACAGCACTGGAGGTCTCCGCCATAGCAATTAGGCAAGAAAAAGTAAATTAAAGCTGCCCAAACCAGGAAAGAAAAAGTAAAATTATCTGTTTGCAGATGACATGATCATACACACAGAGAACCCTAGAGGGCCCCCCCAGAAAGAGTATCAGAACTAATAACCAAGTTCTGCAAAGCTGCAGACTACAAAACCAATGCACAAAATTCGGTTATATTTTTATATACTAGCAATAAAAAGTCTGAGGAAGAAGTTAAGAAAACCACTCCATTTATAATAGCAATGAAAGAATAAAAGTCCTTAGGGATAAACTTGACCAAGGAGACAAAAGGCACGTTGCAGCGAAAACCGCAAAGCACCGCTGAGACGCATCCACACAGAAACGAGCGGGAAGGCAGCCCCCGTCCGCCCCCTCGACATCGACTGTTGCTAAGATGGCAGCGCTATCCGGAATGACGTACGGATCAACGCGACCCCCATCGGTACCCCAATGGTGTTTCTTGTAGAAAAAGAAGACCTACAAAATTTGTATGGAAATGCAGGGGGCCCTTAACCACCACAGCAATTTTGAAAAAGAAGAAAAAAGCTGGAGGACTCACACTTCCCAAGTTTAAAACTCACCACGGAGCTACAGCGATCAAACACCGTGGTCCTGGCGTGAGGACAGACGTGCAGACCGAGGGCCCACGACTAAGCCTCACACCCGGTCAGCTAACTTTCGACAGGGACACCAAGGCCATTCGACAGGCAAAGCAGTCTTCTCAACAAACAGAGCCGGGAGCGTGGGGTGCCCGTGTCCTCAGAGGAAGTGAGGGGACCCAACAGGCTGGAGCGCCCGCGTTCACGGCTGCACGGTGCACGGCTGCCAGGAGGCGAAAGCGGCCCGCGCGATCGTCGAGGGACGATGGACAAACAAATCAGGGAGGTCTGTCCGCGCGCAGGACACTGCTCAGCCTCGAAAAGGAAGGGAACGCTGATGCCTGCAACCCCCTGGGCACCACCTGAGGACACTGTGCTCCATGGCCTCAGCCAGTCACAGGAGGACACAGACGGGAGAGCCCACGGCTGTGAGGCCCTGGAGGAGCCGCCCTCACACAGACAGAGAGTAGCGGGCGCTGCCCGGCGCGGGGGTGGGGGTTCGGGTTGAGCAGGGGCCGAGCCTCGGGTTTCAGTGGGGACAGTCAGTCTGGAAGACGGGAAGCTCTGGGGATGAGGGCGGCGACGGCTGCACAACGGTGTGAGCGTCCTCATGCCCCCGAACTGCGCACTTACGTGGTGAAGGGGGCACATCATAAGCCGTGTAACAAAACACGACGGCGCTGTGGGCAGGAGGCCCTGGGCAGCGGCACGGCCCAAGGGGCCGCTGTGAAGAGCCCGTGAGAGGTAGGGGGGGCGGGCAGCTGCGGGAGGGGAGGCGGCACCGGGGGACCCTGCACAGGGGCTTCCTGCCAGCTCGCGCGCTCCCGGGCCCCGCAAGAGCAAGGGGCAGGCCGGCCGCAGCTCCTGGCCGGCTGAGAGGTCCGCGAAGCGAGGAGAGCCGGTGGCCGCCGGCCCCGTGTGGCCCTTCGGAGGGCCGGTCCGCGCTGTCCTCGCCCAGGCACCAGAGGGAAGGGCGAGGAGGCAGAGGGCCCGCTTCTCCCATTTCACCGACAGCAACGTGCGTTGGACTCTCACTCAGCTTGTGGAAGGACATTAGTAAACGAAGAGCTTGTACAACAGAAACGCGAAGCGCATTGCTGCGGTCGCCGCACAGCTGGCTTGCAGGCCCCCAGCCCAGCGATGGCCGCCGCCTGCCCAGCGCGGGGCAGTCACTCCGCTGCGCCGGGGCAGCGACCGGTGCCAGCACCCCTTACCTGGCACAGGGGAAACGTGGCAGAGACGACCCCGATCAAGACGTTCAGCACGTCCTTCACCAGCTCGCACTCCCTCACCAGGATGGGCTGTGTGGCCTGCGCCAGGCCCCCGCCCAGCACCTGCAGCTCCCCGCGGCACAGCCGGCACAGCCTGTCGAAGGCGTCCCTTCCCGCCTCCGTGAGGTAGGGCTCCTCTCTGTGGCCAGGGGGGCTGTGGAGACAGAGTCACAGGCACCTCAACTACATGAACAGAAGGCAGCAGACAGCGACACACAACAGCACGCCCAAGAAATCCAGGGCGGTGAGTATCTAACCAGACAGCAGCCCGTGAGTCAGCTCTGTGGGCTCACAACCCGGCCCGCAATCCACGATGCTCTTCAACGGACGACGCACCGAGGGGCGCTCTTCCTTCGCCACCACTGTCCAAGCGCAGGGGCAGCTCTGTGTCCACCTCCCGGGGTCGTCCCGGCCCAACCGTGGCCCCACGACTCAGAGCCGAGAGAGAGGAGCCCGCACAGGAAACCACCAAATCCCCACTCGTCCCCACAGGGAACTTGGCCCCTAACAGGAGGGAACAGCTTCCCCAGAACGGGCGGCAGGCGTGGAGCAACAGCAGAGGGCGCCCTGTGGACCCACCGGCTCCGGGGCAAGCGCAGGGGCAGAGTTCAGTCCTGGGGCTGCGCGTGGACAAGGGGCTCTGTTTCTGGTGGGAACACAGTTTCCTTAACTGCCTGCAGTGGCTGCGGTTTGAATGGAAACGAGTTCTAGAGGTTCGGCAAGTAAACCTGCGTGACAGGCCTCCACCCCCGTTCGGGGCGGTGTCAAGGCACCGGCGCGCTGCAGGCAAGAGGCCCTGGACCCGGACGAGCAGGGCTCGGGAGACGCTGCTGTGGCCACCCTGGCCGGCGGAGAGCCCGCTCCCGTCCTCCCGGATGCGCACGAGGGCGGGCCCCCGAGCCTGGATCACGTCTTCCCGGCCCTGGCCGCACCGCCCGCCAGGCCTCCCTTGGACACCGTGGACCACGAGCCCTCACGGGAAGGGTGTGAACTCAGGCGCGAGTGACCCCTCTCCCTGAAGGGTGTGCTCTGCAGACCTGCTGGCACGGGGGAGCCTCCGGGAAGCCTGAGGTCCTCGCCCCCAAGCGTCCCGCTCGGCTCCCGGGACAAAGACAACGTGCGCTCGCCGGGCTCAAACTCCCGGGCCCTCGTCCTGCCACAGCAGCTCCCGCCAGAGCCGCCTGGGCTCTCTGGGCCGCGGCAGGTGCACAGGCCGGAGGAGGGCAGTGCCTGCCAAGGCCAAGGCCGAGGCCAAGGCCAAGGTGTACCTACCAGCCGACTTGCTCCCAGCACCTCTGCTTGCTGGGCTCGTATGTGAGCACTGCGTCCCACAGGTCGATCTCAGGGGTCGTGCCGGGCTCAGACTGGGAGTCGGGAGTCAGATTGGACGCGGACTGGAACCCTTCATCTTCGGACGGGTCCACACTCCGAGGCACCTGGAGGCCGGGGAGGCGGAATCACCGCGTGTGCCTTCGGGTCTTGGTTTCACCATCCAGGGCACCGCGTGTTTACTCTCATGGGAAAGCCCTGGCAGAGCACGTCCTGTTTCTCTGGAGCACGTGCGCACTACGCGTTGTTTTTGCACACGTTAAACATTTAAGGAATTAAATTAACCACGCAAGCTATCAATTTCCAATTCCACAGAACACACAAGCCCCAGTGAAACTTACAATCAAATGCATCCAATCTGGAATTTCCATTTTAGGGAACCCAGGATAAAAACTATACTAGAGACATAAAAACTTATATAAACCAAGGTGTTCGCTACAGCATGGTTTCTGTTTGCAAATCACCTAAACGTCTTGTAGTAAGAGAATAACTGAGCAACAAACAGTGCATTCTTCGGGCAACATTCCTAAAACCACAAACACAAAGCCCAATGATGATTTACTTAATTACGTAGGGAAAATCCCGCATTAGAGGTGGAAAGGAGCACAGAAAGCGGCGTGTATGGTGGGGAACAAGCATTTTTTACCCCATGTGACTCCTGAGCACTTGAAATGAGGCAACTGAGGAACAAAACCTTTTACTTCATTTTCGTTAACTGAGGTTTAAGGAGCACCTCTAGAGAGCAGAACAGGTGACTTAACACCACGCCACCAGGTAAACAGGGAACGCGGCGAGTCGCGTGGGCTTGCAGGTGCGCAGCAGCATCCTTGCCCAGGAAGGTGGGGGCCGGCAGCCTGGCCTCACCCCCACTAAGCCACCGAGGGTCCCGCACTCTACGGCTGTCCCACCCTCCCCGTGACAACAGGGAAGTCAAGGAGGCACTTCCAAGGGCCCCGGAGGCAGGAAAGCGGCGCTCTACCTTGATGGCCAGTCCACAGAGGTCTGCGCTGTCTGGCACCGGGGGCAGGTCCAGCCGGACGTCCATGTCGTATGTGCGACTATGCACAAGGGCTCCAAAGAGCGACACCCGGGTGTCTCTCTCAAACTTGTCCCCACAAGGCTCTCCATAAGAGAAGAGCTGGGCAGTGGACAGGCCGGTGCCCGGCGTGGCCTCCATCACCTGGAGCGCTTTCTGGATCGTGTCCTGACACAGGTACTCCTCCCTGGACATCAGAGACCGAACGTCCATCTCAAACACACTCAGGTCGTAGCAGTCATAGCCGCTGTAGGGCACGTTCCTGCCGACGTGCTTGTTGTTGAAGAAGTAGTCCCGCTTCCGCGGCAAGGCTCGAGGGGGCCCACTGCCCGCCAGCTGCACCAGCAGGTCCAAAGCCGACCCCACCTCCCCCAGCGGGCAGCCAGGGGCTGCTTCGAGTTTCTCCACAAGCTCCTCCAGCCGGTCAGCCTCCGGGCCCAGGCCGCCCACTCTCAGGTCAAAAGACAGCATGAGGATCTTGTTTTTCACGGGGAGTCTTGAGAGGTCAGGCTGCAGCTTGGGAGCCTCGTCTTGGAAAAGATTTGCGAACAGAGCGTTGTAGGCCACCCGCTTGAGGCTCTGCTTCGCCCGCCTGCGGCTCGGGCCGCGCTGGCCCAGGTGAGCCTTCGCGGCCGGCAGGAGGGCCTCGCAGAGGTCGTCCAGCAGCTGGGTGATGCTGTCCATGCCCACCGTTCTCGGGTCCCCGCGGCCTGACAGCCGGGGGCGGGGGCGACCGGGGCGACCGGGCCGACGGGCGGGCGGCCTCCTCGACGGCGGCCGGAGACTCCGAACTGGAACGGGACCGGGTCTGCGGTGGCGACGCCCCCGCCAGCCGGCCCGCAGCGGCCCGCAACATGCGACGCGCACAGAACCGCGACGAATCGCAGGAGACGCGCGCAGGCCGTACGCAGCGGGCTCGGTGGCTTCGCGCTCTCTTGGGGCCCGAGAGAGGGCGGCCGGGAGCGACGCCGCCCGCGGACGGTCCCCGGGGTCAGGCCTGCAGGGCCACCCGCTCACCAGACCTCGACCCGGACAGCGCGCGCCGTTGCAGCTCCCGCCGCCGCGCGTCACTGCCAGGGGCCCCGCCAAAACGCGGGAGCCGGCGCGCAGGACTTGCGTCACTGGGTGGGCGGTGCCCTGCGCGGAGGGGCGGGGCCCTGGCGGCTGACGACCGCAGCGTACTTCCGGCTTCGGGCCGCCCACTTGCGGCTGGGAACCCTGAGGCCTAGCGCCGCGGGCTCAATAACAGAGGCGGAGTCAGACTTTCTCTTACACGTTTATTGATTGGAGCGGAGGGAGCCGGGGCGGGGCCTTCCGTGCGGAGGCTGGCGCGCGGGTCCCCGGCGCAGCCGCGGACAGCGCACCCCGAACCAGCGCCCGGAGGGACGTCGGGACCGAGGCCCCAGTGTGCTGGTGAATGTTTAACGCCAGTCTCCGGTCTGCGGTGTCATTTCCGGGGTGCAAATACCCCCACCCTGGCCGATGTCAAGCAGCCAGGTCAGGCACTCAGGCGGGAGCTGGGAAGAGGCGCGCAATCCGCTCAGCACTGCTGTGCACCGGATCCGGGCAGCGCCCGCTCCCGGGGCGCGAGCCCCACTTCCCATGAAGTTCTAAAGCAGGACTGTCCCCCAGTCCCCCAGGCATTCAGCCTAAGCCGTGTTCCCTAGTCTCACCGGCCACCTGCATCATCTTCCACTGAGGTTCCAGCTGCCTTCTCAGGTGGATCAGGGCCTTCATGTCCCCTGGGGAGGCCATGCAGAAGGGGCCCAGGCTGGGGGGTGCCTCTCCATGCAGCACCTGGGCCAGGACGCCTACCAGCTGGGGCGCAGATTCCTGGATCAGGGGCAGAGCGAAGCAGTGGGCCCCTGGTCTCGTCCCGCCTGCCACCCCATAGCACGTCTGCCTGTTCGTCTCACCTCATCCACAAGGGCCAAGACTCGGCCCCCTGCCGGTGCCCGCAGCAATGCAGCCAGGAGTGCAGCTTGGGGGTCCTGCAGGCCGTGCGCTGGCCCCAGTACCAGCAGCACCAGGTCAGGCTGGAAGCCATAGGCCAGCGGCAGCACCAGGGCCAGGACAAAGTTCAGGAACCCACCAGTTGTCTGTGTGAGGGACAGCAGCATAGCCCCATCCCCTCATCCAGGGGACACCCCTCCTGCCAGCTCAGGCCACCCCACCTCCAAGTATCGGGTGGGCGGCCACACCAGAAGTCCCATCGGGAAGCCAGGAAGGGGAGGTGAAGGCCAGGGTCCTGGCCCTCACGATGATGCCCGTGAGCAGCCAGGGCCTGTCCCTGGGGCTCGCACTCACCCCTGGCAGTGGCATGGAGACATGGAACATGGACAGGGCAGCTGCCTCCCTGCCCCTGATGCTCAGCCACAGGGTCCTCCTTCCAGGGAGAGGGCACATGGACGCGTGTGGTGTGAGCAAGACGTCCCGTACCCCCCAGAGCCGGGGCGACAGAGGGGAGGTGCAGGAGAGGCCGGGGATGGGGTGTTGGGAGTACGGCCCCTCTGTGCTAGAGACCCTCCTGGCCTTGCTCCCAGGGCCCCCCGGCCCACCCACTCATCTCTGCTGGGGACCCACAGTGATGCACCCACCCACACACACGACGATGTACACATGACCAACGGGCATACCCATCATCAGCAAGGTCCGATGGCCGATCCAGCTGTCCCACAGCCACGCAGAAGAGCCTAGAAGAAAAGGTGGTCCGAGGACAGGCTATACTCCCCCCGCTAGGAGTCTATTCCCAGAGCCCTCCCCCGCTGGCCAGCAAGGGCGAGGATGCCCACGAGCTGTGGACACTCGGGTCGCCAGCTGCAGCAGCTCACCTGTGGGCTCCCCGAGAAAGGCCGTGCTGAATGGCCACATCCAGGGTGGCAGCTACAGCTGCGGCCGGGGTGGCTGCGAGGCCGCTGCTCACCTGCGGGGTGGACAAGAACCGTGGAGGACAAGTCCCAAACCAGGCAAACAGGCCCACCCGTGCTTCTCTTGGTCCCTGTCTCTGTGGCTGTCATCTGTACGCTCTGAGGTCGAATCGCCCCATTTCTGAAAATAAGATGCTTAAAACTACACTTTAAGTCTCCACCTTCCCCTCTCCGCCAAAGAACATTTAGCTGAGGGGACCAAGGGACTGCTCATGACTCTGTCCTTAGGGGCTCTCCTGGGACAGGTCCCAGGCACAAGGCGACACTCATGTCCACACAGCTCTGCCCCCCATCCCTCCCCTGGACAGGCTGCCTATCACGGGCAGGTCCTGGGCCCTGCCCCCAGCTCCACAGCTGCCCCCCGGCCCCTCTAGGTGCCCCCACCTGCCTATCCAAGATCCCATCCAAGAGGGACAGGATCTTCCCAAGTGCAGTGACAGCCTCGTCTTTGGCCAGGGCCTCGTGTAGCCTGTGGTGGGAAAACCAGAGGAACATGAGGACACGGGGTGACACACAGGTCACAGGGGAGCCACACAAGGGTGCAAGGAGGACACAGCCCCACGTCGTTCCCCAGGCCCGCTCTGCCCACCTGGCCCAGGCCTGCATCTCCTCCTTCGGGCGCAACCCCTCCTGATGGAGGATGTCCAGGGGCAGGACCAGGGCAGCGTCCAGGGGAGCCAGAGCAACAGCCGTGCGCACAGGCGGCGTGGGGTGCAGGCGCAGCCGGTCCCAGAGGGCGCTCAGTGCCGCCATGGCCTGGGCTGCTGCAGCCTCGGATTCGGGACCCCCCGGCAGCAGAGGCGAGGCCCTCCCCTCGGAGGGGCGGGTGCTGGGGCTCGGGGCAGGGGCTGAGTCTAGGGGGCGGTTCGGAGTCACAGCCACTGCGTGGGAGCCCAAGGTGCCATCCCACCACCCGGCCTAGGCCACACTGACCTTGCTGCTGCAGGCTCATCCAGTGAGGGGCCTGGGCTGCCCGGACGCTCTGGATGGACTCCAGGGCACTGCAGGGAGGGCAGGAGCGGCGGTGAGGCCTGGCCCCGCACCCCGGGCCTTCCCAGCCTCCCGCCCCCAGCACCTGTGCACACCTGTGGAGCGGCACCATCGGGCCCGACAGCAGAGGGGCGGGGTCGCCCAGCAGCGCCCGCACCGTCATGCACACGGACTCGGAGAGCGACTCCAGATGGTAGCCACCCTGGGAGGAGGCGGGAGGGCAGGCGAGTCGCTGGGGCCGCAGGTCCCCCGGCTGCAGCTCAGCCTCTGGCCCACGGACCCTCCCTCTCGCCGGTCACCTCCAGCACGGCGCAGACCCGGCCGCCGGCCAGCCCCTGCAGCAGCTGCGTGAGGTGGGCAAAGCACTCTGGCGTGGCCTGCATCTGCCCCTGGAAACAGAGCCAGGCATGAGGGGCCTGGCCGCTGCCCGCCAGCAGCCCTCCCGGCCAGGCCCGGCCCGGCCCGGCCCTCACCTCGGGATCCCCGATCGCTGAGTCGAATCCTGCCGAGACCAGCACCAGCTCGGGATCGAACTGTAGGGAGGAGTGAAGGGGAGGCCCCTCAGACAGACTTTCCTCCTCTTGTTCTGCTCTGGTGGAGTGGGGGGACTCTGGGCATCAAGTCGCCCCCCTCCTCCATCAAGGCAGTCCCCCCACAGTCACCTCAAAAGCCAGGGGGAGCAGCAGGTGCAGAAAGGCAGCCACGTAGTCAGCGTTCCCCATCCCGACCTGCAGCCACGAGCGTCGGCGTTGGGCCCTGCTAGGACGGCTGCGGGGCCTGCCCCCCTGGGGCCCAGGCTCAGGGAGGGGGCCCTGCATGGACGCCCTGGGCCTCTCTCCGGAGGCCCAGAGCTGTGGGGCGGGGGGCCTGGGGGGGGCGGGGGCGGGGCAGCACCTGGTTCCAGGGCAGGTTGACGGTGAAGCCTCGGCCCCGCCCCTGCCCCACAGCGTTGGCCGCGGACTCGGGCAGGTAAGGCCAGAAGCGCCCGTGCTCGTAACGGTGCCAGGAGAAGTAAAGGACGCTGCAGGTAACCGGTCAGGGCCAAAGGTCAGAGGTCAGGACCCACAGCCCCAGGGCTCTTCACAGAACCCTGACCCTTGAGCACACAGCTACATCTGGCGAGGAATTTCCCAGGCCAGGCTGTGTGCCCCAAAGCGTGGGTCACAGTGAAGGGCCGTATCCCCACCCCCGCTCACCTGGGGTCATCTTCAAAGATATACTGGAGGCCCTGGCCGTGGTGGATATCCCAGTCAACAATGAGGACCCTGGGGACGACCGCCCGGGGCTCACGGGGGGCAGGACCTCCCGCCCGCAGGCCAGGGGCCCCGCCCCGGACGGGCGGGGACGAGGGGGCATCTGCCAGCAGCCGGCTCCCCCGCCCTCCCCCAGCCCAGCCCTGCCTGCTGCCCGCCCAGGACGCACCTGTGCAGCCCGTGTTTCTGCTGGGCGTGTTTGGCCGCTATGGCCACGTTGTTGAACACGCAGAATCCACTGGCGGCGGCCCTCTGGCTGTGGTGCCCAGGAGGCCTGAGGGTGAGGGGGGCGCGGGCCATGTCGGGGTCGCCCTGTGCCCACACGGGGAGGCCGCCGGGGCAGAGGGACACCGCTCACCTCACCAGGGCGAGCCCGTTGTGCGCGGCCCCGGTCAGCACCGCGTCCACCAGCTGCAGCCCCGCCCCCGCGGCCAGCCGGGCGCAGCGGAAGGTGCTCTGCGTGGGGGGTGGGGGGCAGATGAGCCCACAAGGGCTGCTCCTCACAGACGCTACCCAGGTCTGTGCCAGGCAGCGGGGCACCAAGCGCTGAGCAGGACGGGCCGGGACAGCCTCAGGCGCCGGCGCGGCTGCGATCACAAGGACACTGGCCTGGAGGGCAGCCACAGCCAGAACAGCAAGGGCAACAGGGCGGGAAAGGGGGGGGCAGGCGCACCCCCAGGGCACGCACCGGATGGAAGTAGACAGCATCAAACTGCGCCGACAGCGCCTGGAGCTCCTCCGTGCTCAAGGCCTGGGTCCCCCGCAACAGGGCCACATACTCTGGGCTGCAGAGCAGCGGGGAGGCAAGGCAGGGTCACCAGCAGCAATGGGGACGGGAAGAGGAAAAGGGGCCGGGCCCGGTGGGACCCTCACCCACCCCACCCCCGACGGTGGAACGGAGGCTCTGGGGGAGGGGCGCTGTTTGTGAGGCACGGGCTGGCTGGCTGAGGGGGGCGAGCTCAGGTCCTGGGGTGCGTCCTCGAGGCCATGCGGCCGCCGCGGGTCTGACCTGTGCACCAGGCCCAGCTCTGCCTCCGAGGCCTCTCGGGCTGTCAGCCGTAGACACCTCTGCTCCAGGCCCCGCTGCTGCAGGCGTCCCAGGGCTGTGGTCAGGCGCTCAGGACCCTCGATCTCACACTCGGGACTGAGTGGACAGGGAGCTCAGGCTCCAGGGTCACCTCCCCAACCCCCGCCTCTTCCAGGTCACACTTACTCGTCCCAGAGCAACCTGGCAGCCGTCATGTCCTCGTGGTACACGAGTGCAGTCTTCATGGCCCAGGCGTGGGTGGGAGGACCCAGACGACCCAACCCAGGGTGCGGGAACGCACTGCCCGACCCCACCTTGCAGCCCCAGGGAGCAGCGCCACGCCCGGGCCACAGCGGGGGCAGCCAGCACCCAGCCTGAGCAGGAGCACGCAGAGCCCAGGCGGGACGGAGGCCCCAGGCTGCAGCCCGGCTCAGCGCGAGAGCAAGGCGGCACCTACAGTCTGGCTTCCGGCTTCCTGCGAGACTCGCACAGGGACCGTCCCGCCCCCTTGCCGCTCCCGCCACAGCTCCAGCTCCTCCTACCTGGAGCCAGGTCCCCCTCTAGCGATGGAAGGGGACGTGCTTCGTGATGGCCGAGGACTAGTGTGCCCGGACCCACGCGAAGTCTCGGCAGCCACACAGCGTGCCTTGGGCGGGGCCCCCTGCACCCCAGCACCCCCTGGCCCACCCTGACCGCGCAGCCCGGGCTCCGGGAGCAGCGGCGAGGGAAGGAGCACGGAGCCGGGGCCCCAAGAGCCAGGCCGCGCCGCAGGAGAGCGCTCCGTCGGGCCGGGGTCGGGCCTGGCCCGGCCTGAGCTGCCCGGTGCGCGGCGCTGTCCCCGGGGTTCAAGAAGGGGGTGACAGGGCCCGATTCAGGAAGGTCCCCGGCCAAAGGGCGAACGGCTAGCGGGCCAGGAGGCGCGGCAGCGTGGGGCGAAGGAAAGACGGGCGGGGGGCGGGGCACGACCGAGTGATGAATGAAGCCAGCGAAGCAGGCGGCGGGAGTACAACGCGATCCGCAGGCCTGAAACCATGAGGCTCTGGGACTGGGCTCAGGGGCGGGTCTCCTGGGTAAGGGGCGTGGTCATGGGCGGGGCGGGAGGTGGAGTCCTGGGGCGGGGCGGGGCGTGGTGGGAGGTGGGGCCCTGGAGCTGGGGTGCCCCCTGTCGCGTTCCTTGATCGCCCCGGCGCTGCTGGGGTTTTGGGGAGACTCCAATAGGTCATTTAGGGGTCAGATGCCCGCCAATCTCAGGGGCTAGGGAATGGCGTGCTCTGATTGGTCATCCTGGGACACGTGGCCACGAGGGGCGTGGTCGGCGGCGGACCGCGGGTCCTGGGTGCTGGAGAGTAGAGTCCCAGCGTAGGTCGGTCCTAAAGGCGTGAGAAGACCTCTTGGCAGAAAAGGCCCGTGTCTACCGTGGCCACTCGTCCGACCATCTTTGGCTGGAACAACTGTGCGTGTGCCCAGCCTGACTGCAGGCCAGGAGGGCTGCCTGGCCCGCTTTGGGGGCACCTACTCTGGGGACAGGAGGGAGGAGCCAGGGCGGCCCCCGGAGCCCTAGAGTGGCTCCTGACCCCGCTGCCTGCTCTCGAAGGCTCCGACTGGCCGGCTGAGGGCCCTGTGGGCTCGGCGATGGCGCTGGGTTGTGGCCGAGGGAGGGGCAGAAGGATCTCGGAATGGAAACCACTCTCTCCCGAGACACCAGGGCGGAGGCCTGATTGCCTCCGCGGGTCTAGAGTGGCTCCTCCTCCCTAGGAACCTGGTCGTGGAGAGGGCAGGGAGCTCAAGCAGCCGGGACTGAGCCTCAGGTTGGACCCTAACCGCCCCCCCACTCCCATCAGGCCCTGCCCCGAGGTCGGGCTCCAGAGTCCAAGCCATTAGAGGAAGGTCACCCCAGAAGCTCCAGGTTCGGGGCTCCCCGGCACAGAGCAGGGGAGGTGGGCACCGGCTTCGTGACCCGGGAAGCAGGGCTGAGCCTCCCAGGCTGGCCTCCTCCGTCTGGGTATGGCTGCAGCTCAGAGGCCGAGGGGCGGAGGTCCAGCCAAAGAATCCGGAAGCAAAGGCAGAGTGGAAGCTCTACAAAAGGGTTTATTTCCTCCCAGCCGTGTGGGCGCACCATAAGGACAGTTTCCACCCCGGGCTGGGCGAGCAAGAGAGTCCACACCAGCGCCCCTGGGAGAGGCGACCCTGAGTCAGCGCCTGCGCCCTCCCTGTCCCGCCTCCTCAGCCTTGTGCGCTGGGCCTCAGGAAGGGCCGGCAGGCAGGGCCCGAAGCCGGGCCTCCATCCCAAGCCCCGCCCTGCCCTGCAGGCTCTGAGGCCCCCTGCTGCCGCCCACTGCGGGCGCCGCTGCCCAGGGGCGCAGAGGCCAGCCCCAGGTCAGGGGGCCTCCTGTCCAGGAAGCCCAAATGCTGCTCCAAGGCGAGGCTGAGGTGGGGCAGACAGCAGGGCCACGGGCTGGGAATGAGCAGTCTCCTGGGGCGCGAGCAGCAGCCGAGGCCGCAGGACCCCCGTGCAGGCGGAAGCCCCCCCAGGGGCCCCACGGCGTCCCCACCACCCTCAGGGCCCAGCGTTCACAGGGCCGTCTCCTTGGAGGCCTTGGCCCCCAGCTGCCGGGGAGGCTTGAAGCTGAGCACCTCTTTATACGTGTCACCTGGGGTGGGGCGAGAGGGAGAAGGAGAGTCACGGGCGCAGGGCCCAGCCACGCGTCCGAGTCAAGCCCCACGGCTCAGACGCTCCCCGCGCCTGCGCCCGCCCCCGGTGCACCCCTGCTGCTGTGCACCACGCAGGGCAGCAGTGGGGGGAGCTCCCGGGCCCAGCCACCAACCTAGGGGCCTACCGCCCCCAAAACTCCAGGGCCAGAGGTCACGACAGGGGAGTGGGCGCCAGCGGGGCTCCTCTGTCCCATACATACGACTCCGTGCCAGGCCACAGTCACTGTCAGCCCTCAGGAGTCTGTGCACCGTGGTGTCCACTGTGACTGCCCGCCCTGAGCAGAGGAACCCAGCACCGCTGCTCCCAAGAGGCCGGGCTCGCTCGGCCCCACCGCCCGCAGCCGGCCTCTGCCAGCGCAGGATGTCCCAGGGACGGGACCCGGTGCGTTCGCTCGGGTCGCTGCTCACGGGCCCATCCAGACACAGCCGCGCCTCTGGACCCAGACCATCCACTCGGGCTTTGATGAGGAGTTCCCACAGCTGCCTGCAGTGCTCACCTTCCTCGCTAGGTGGCCACACTCCCTGAACCATGTGCCTAGGGTCAGCCCCCTAAGGGCGGGTGAGGGGGACCTGCTCTGCCCGGCTCTGACCGGCCTGCAAAGGGACAGGTTCCACTCAGCCCAGCCCCGCCTTTCACGCTCACCTGGCCAGCGGGGAGCCGGTCTGGGGCACGGGGGTACTCGACAAGCCCAGCTCAGGACACACCGCCTTCAGAGCAGGGGGTCTGCGGGGTCTGCCCTGCCTGGGGCGGGAGTGGGTGCACCCCCCTGACCCGGCGGCAGGAGCCGGCTGCCCAGGGAAGGTGTGCGGGGAGGGACCCCTGCTGCAGAGCTGGCTTTTCCCAGGGAAGCAGGAGGTGATAAAAGTTTGCTTCCTGGCCCGGGGCTCAGCCACAAATATGTCACATGTCCACCATGGGCCGCAGTCAAAGCAAAGCTCTCGGCGTGGTTTGGGTAGGCGGGGACCCGAGAGAGGATCCTGTGGCCCGCGGTTTTCATAAGATCTTTTTTTAGCAGCAGAAAACTTTCATCAAACCAAACTCACAAAAACAAAACAGCACCAATAAGGGTGGTGCCCTGCTGAAGCCACCAAGGACCCCGGGGGTCCTTGGGAACACGGATTGGGAACCACAGCTGGTCCAGCCCCACCCATTCCCTCTCGTGCAGGACTAAGGCCCGGGGTCTGACGCAGAGCCAGGGCACAGGGCACAGGACAGCCACGTGCCGTGGCGCGGTGGCGCGGTGGCGCTGGCTGCTGCTCTCAGGGATCCCCGGACCCCCAGGCTGCTCCAACGGCCACTGGAGGGCACCAGGCCCAGCCCTCATGGCCCGCCCTTCTGGGGCGCAGCGGACAAGGCCAGTTCCAGCGTGCGCGTCGGGGCCCCAGCGGAGGGAGGCCTGGGGACCGACCGGGCAGGCATCCCTGCCCCCAGCTGGAGGCTGAGCTGGTATAGCCTGACCCTCAGAAATGAGGGGAGGGCCCTTGGTGCCCGGGAATGGCGGGCGCGAAGCTCGGAGATGCAGAGCAGTCACGGGGGTTGAACGGCTCAGCGGGCCTGGAGGGCACAGGCAGGCGAGGAGGGGGAGGTGCTGGGGGCTGGCTGGGTGGCCCTCACCCCACGGGCAGGAACCGAGGGGTCTGCGGTCGCCCGGGCGAAAGGGGTCGCGAAAGGGGCAAGTTCAAGAGGAGCGAGCAGAGGCCTGGGGACAAGTGGGCGCAGAGGGGCTCCAGGACGGCCCGGGTCCGTGGCTCCGACGGGGGGAGGTGGGCGCTGGGGCGTGGCCACGGGAGGCGAGGGGTCCACGACCACCCCGAGCTTGGCTGCCTCCCATGCATCTCACGCTCCCGCGCATGCCGAGCGCCTGCGACTCCACGCCCCGCCTTTCCTCCCCAGCTCCAGCCAGAGGTCGCCTGGGCCAGGACACCCCACTGCCCTCTGCCCCCCTGCTGTGTCCCGCACCCAGCAGACCCCGGACTCTGAGCCCCGGCCACCGCGCGCAGCTCACAGGGTCCAGCCCGTGAGCACCCCCCAGAGCCCCCGGCTCACGCTTCCACTCGTCCAGCGTGCGGTCCACGTCATCAAAGGACTCGTCGTACTTCTGGGCCTTGGGCTCATCCTCCGTGTCGTGCAGTGACTCGAAGTAGGGGTGCGTCAGGGCCTCGGCCGCCGTCACCCGCCGCTCCGCGTCCAGCACGAGCATCTTCTCCAGGAGGTTCACGGCTGCGGGGGGAGGTTGTCGGTCCGGCTGGGGGGCGGGGGACGCCGCCCCCCACACCGGGTCGCTGACCCCACGCTCCCCCACGTCCGGCCCTACCCAGGGGGCTCGCGTTGGTCAGGATGGAGGCAAAATCCTTCTTCTCCAGCTCAGGGAGGCCCTTCATGTAGTCCTTCGCCTGGGCGGGAAGAAAAGGTGAGGGGGCCGCTCCCGGCCCGGCCTGGGCCCTCCAGCCCCTGCCCGGCTCCCGACTGACATCAGCACTCTGCAGCCTCTGCACAAAGTCATCCGGGGGCGTCCCTGTCACCTTCAAGATCTCCTTCAGCTGGTCCAGGTCTCCGCCGAGCTCAGGAGCACAGCGTGGGCCAGAGAGCAGGACTTCCCCCCGCCCCCCGCCCGGACAATGCGCCCAGCCCACCCGAGCCCACGGGTGCGGGATGGACCCCGCCCACCCGCCCGAGCCCACGGGTGGAGGATACGGTCGTTGCCCTTGAACAGCGTCTTCCCCGTGATCATCTCGGCCATGATGCAGCCCGCAGACCAGATGTCCACTGAGACAGAAGCCCCCTCATCAGGGCTCTGTGGGCCGGGGGGAGGGACGCACAGGGGGACATGGACGTAGGGGCCATCTGGCCTGCCACACCCTCCTGGCTCCGGCCCAGCTCTGCAGCCTCCAGGGAGGCAGCCACGGGCGGGGACGGTGGGGTGTCCAGGTGGTGGCCCGTCTCCGGGTAGCCTCTCACCTGTCTGTGTATAGTGCATCCAGTTCAAAATGACTTCAGGTGCCCGGTACCACCGGGTCACCACGTACCCGGTCATCTCGCTGTCGGCCTGCCTGGCCAGGCCAAAGTCCAGGATCTGCGGCCAGAAGCAGGGGGCGGGGCCAGGGGGCCCCCGGGAGTGAGCGGGCCAGCCCATGGCCCAGGGGCCCGGAGGGACTGCCCGCTCTGGGCCCCTGCCAGCCCTCCAGGACCTGGGGTCACAGCCAGACGCCCCAGGGGCTCCCCTCCCCCCATCCTTCCCCTCCCTGCTGATGCCCTCAGTCCCGGCAGGCACCTCCGGGAGGCCTCCTGGGCCCTGCCCTGGCCGCGCACAAGGCACTGGGGGCTGCCTCCCGCCCCAGCCTCAGGAAGGTCTGGGACTGTGCCCATTGCTACCCCATCAGGTGCCTCCCCAGGCACATCTGACCGTCAGCTGTGGGGCCCCTGCCTCACGGCTGGCCCCCCCGGCCTGGGCCCAGGCCCGCCCCCCTCCAGGGCTGAGGACCCAGGACGCGGAGGGCGGCCGGACAAGAGGGAGCCTCCGCCCCGACCCGAGACACACCTTCAGCTCACAGTCCTCGTTCACCGCCAAGTTGCCGGGCTTCAGGTCCTGGGGACAGAGGAAAGGGGGCTGTGTGGCCCACCAGCCGGGGCGCCGCAGCCGAGGCAGCAGGCGAGCCCGGGAACGGGCGGACTGGGGAGGGCGGGGGGCCTGGGCCCCGGGGCTGCGTGCAGACAGCGCGTGGCCTCCCACCGTGCCCCCACGCGGAGGAACGGCGGCGAGCCCCTCAGCCACCCACACAGGCCGAGGGCTCCCCGCTCCGCCAGGACTCACCCTGTGAATGACGCCAGCAGCGTGGATGTACTGCGGGGACAGAGGGGGTCGGCGCGTCAGCCCACTGGGACCGCGCCGCCACGGGCCGGCCCGGGGACTGCCCCCCGCCGGCTCGTCCTCACCTTCAGCCCTTTCAGCATCTGGTAGACGAGGAACTGGATCCGGTCCTCGCTCAGCTTCTCGAGCTTCATGAGCTTGCCCAGGTCGGTGCCCATGAATGGCATGACCAGGTAACTGCAGGGCGGGGCCAGGCTCAGCCCCAGAGGAGCCCCGGGCTCCGCCTCCCAAGCACCCACCCCAGCCCAGAACGCCAGGCGGGCAGGGGCTGTGCCAGGTGAGGGCCTGGGGACACCTGTGCTGACAGGCAGGGGAGGGAGGTGCCTGTGGACCAGCGGGACACCGGCCCGAGCCGCAGGCTGGGCAGGTGGAAGGAGAGAGAGGCGGGCAGCCCTCAGCACCCAGCCGCCGGGACAGCGGAGCCAGGGCGGGTCCTTGACCTCTGCAAGGCCGGGCGGCGGGCCACCGGGCCCCCCGCGCCTCCCAGGCCGGCCCCGGCCCCCGGCCAGCAGCAGCGGGAGCCCAGACGCTGCTTCCCCTGCCGCCCTCCGTGCCCTCCAGCCAAGGTCGGCAGCTCCAGTTACAGCTGCCCTCCGTGCCCGGGCCCAGAGCCCGGGCCTGCTGTTCGCAGGCGCTCAGGTCCAAGGCTCGCACCTCTAGCCCTGGGGACGGCCCGGTGCCGGGCGTGACGCGAGGCGAAGGCCCAGGCCCCACCTGGCGGTGCCGGTGCCACGCGTCCCGGGGCAGGGGGCAGGGGGCAGGGAGGTGGACTGGGGCGTAAGGACGGGATGGGGCCCGACCCCCATCCCGGCCCCGGGGAGAGGCCTGCCTCCAGCGGCCCTCGTGCCAACCCCGAACCCCGACCTGGACCGGGGATGACCCCACGGCCGGCCCGGGCTGGCACTCACAAGTCGGTGAAGTCATCCAGGGTCTCGTCTGGAGTGAACACATCCAGCAGCCCAATCACCTGGGGAGGAGGCCGGAGCGCCAGGTGGGACGGTGGGGCCGGCACTGCGCTCCGAGCAGGAAAGCCCCCGCGCTCTCGCCGTCGCCCCCCGCGGTCCGCAGCCCCGCGGCACCTGCCCACAGGCGCTGGCTATTTTTGGCCGGTGACAGCTGGGATCCTCTGGGGGAGGGGCAGCCCCAAGCCTGGATCCGCTCCCAGCAGTCCAAGGAGCTCCAGGTCCTCGGCCCTTCCCCTCCCCCTCTTCCTGTCCCCATTGAAAACCCGGGAGCAGGACGGGGACAGCCTCCCAGGGGAGCGCCGGCATCCGGCCGGTACTTCCCAGGGCTGGGCCCCTGCGGGAGGGCCCAGGCAGGGGGCGCTGTGACTGAACCGGCAGTCCGGCCTGGCCCCACAGACCCCCGGTCGGGGGTGAGGGCGGCAGACAGGTAATGGGGCAGCTGGAGCCCGGGCTCCGGGTGGCAGGGCCTCCAAGGGCCCGGGGAGGCCTGCCCGTCCAGGCGGCAGAGGGGCAGGCAGACGTGCCGCGGCGGGGGGGGGGGGGGGACACCTGGCGGCAGCCACGCAGGCGGCGGCAGAGGCAGAAGGGACAACACTTCGAGCATTTGAGGAACATGAGGAGGGAGGCCAGGTGGCCGAGGCCCAGGCCCGGGGGGAGCCCAGCAGAGGCCGGGGGGGAGCCGGAGCGGCCCTCGCACGCCAGGCGAAGGCTGGCCTCTGATCCCGGAGCCGCCGGGGAGGGCTGAAACAGGTGTGACACCGAACGTGGGAACAGGGCGCAGTGAGGAGAGACGGGCGTGAGGCGGAGGGACAGCTCCGTGAGCCCTGCGGCCACCGGGCCAGGAGTCACAGGGGCAGGAGGGAACAGGGCGGGCGTCCAGAGAGGGGACCGGAGGCAGGCGGGGCGGGGGCCCCGGGAGACTGAGCACGAGGACGGAGTCCTGGAGGCCGGGGGGCCGTGCGGCTGAGGCGCCTCTGAGGGGCAGTGCAGTGGGCCCCGAGGTTGGGGGCAGGAGAGGGAGACCTGACGTGGGGGTGGGGGTCCCCGGCGACTCCTCCACCCGCCCGGCACTCGGCCGTTGAGAGCTGGGCAAGGGGTCCGCGGCAGGCCGCGCCTCCCTGCTCGCGCCCAGAGTGCCCCTGGGCCGGCTGTGCCCACCTGCTGGGGGCCAGGAGCGCGAGCGGCACGGCAGGACCCACTGGCGCGGTGGGGGGGCCTGCGGGGGGGTCCTGCCAGGGCAGGGGTGGCGCGAGCGGGGTGGGTGGGTGAGAAGCCGGATGAAGCCCTGGGTAGGAGTCTGCCCTCAGGGGACAAGGCCTGGCCAGGAGCAGGGGGATGGGAGGGAGTAAGGCCCAGGCTGGGCTGGTGTCCTCCGTGAATGGATTTCACGTACGAAGAGGGGACCAGTTCCCTGGGGGGCTCCTCCTGAGGGGAGGCTGGTGGCCTTGTGACCCAGGAGGCCAGACCACGTGTCCGGGGCCCGGGTGCCCCCTGGGCCCCGACAGGCGTGAGGCAGCAGCGGCTTCAGGGGCAGGGAGGGGTGGGGCGGAGGGGTTGGCCCCAGGGGACCCCCACCAAGGAGCAGCGGGGCTCCCCTGGCCGAGCAGCCCGCGATGCCGCCAGAGGCCTGCAGTGGCCACGAACGGTGTCCCGTGGGCTGGGTGAAAACAAGGGAGGCCTTTCCGGGTAGGGACCCAGGTCCGCCACTGCCCACCGTCCACGAAACCCCCGCCAGGGACCTGCACCCAGTGCCCGGCACACAGCATCCCTGAACCTTCCCTCACCGGGGACCCGGAGGATCTGAGGTGACAGGGCTGGGATCCCCATTCCCATCCTGGGCCTAGCTCTGTGTCCCAGGGTCCCCAGGTCCTCGGGCCACGCAGGAGGAGGGCCGAGGCGGCTGGGTTCCAGGCGGGATGGGGACGGCTGGAGAAGGCCCCGGGCTGGGGCTGCAGGAGACGCCGGGCACAGGGGAGACTAAGTGCCCCTTCCGGCGGCCCAGAGCCTGGGGTGAGGCCGGGCCACCCCCCGCCCAGCGCCTGGGCTGCGGAGCCAGAGGTGGCGCAGTGGTGGTGGGCGCCAGGGCCTCTCGCGGAGCCCCCGCGCGGGGAGGTCTGGAGGCGGGCAAGCAGGGTCGCTGGGCAAGGGCCCGGCTCTGCCCTCACCACTTGGCGCCCCCACCCCCACCGTCCGCGGATGCTGCTCCGCACCGGGCGGGGATGCCTTAGGGGCCGGGAGCGGTCGGGGGCGCCTGGGGCGATTCTGGACCCGGAGGCGCGAGCGGGCGCCGGCGCGGCCGCGCACTCACGTTCTCGTGGCGCATGTGCTTCAGGAGGCGCAGCTCCCGGTAGGCGCGCTTGGCGAACAGCTCCGACTGGAAGGGCCGGTACAGCTTCTTGATGGCCACCTTGGCGCCTGTGCGGCTGTCCACGGCCGAGCTGCGGGGCGCACCGCTTAGCGGGAGGGTGGCCGCCGCCCGGACACCCGCCGCCCGGCCGCCGGCCCGCCCGGCCTGCGCTCACCACACTGCGCCATAGGCGCCCGAGCCCACGGGCTGCAGGTCCTGGTACACGACGCGCACCTCCCAGGCCGTCTTGGTCACCTCCTGGCGGTAAAAGCCCCGGCGGGCGGGCGGCGGCGAGCTCATGGGTCGGCGGGACTCCCCGGGCCGCCGCGCTGGCGCTCCGCTCGCGGCTCTTCCCTCCGGCGCCGCTCGGGAGCCGCCGACCCCGACCGGGCCCGTGGGGCACGCGGTCCCACCCCGGCCGGCGGACCAACCGGCCCCCGGGCCGCGCGCACGTGATGCCCCCGCCCGCCCGCCGGCCCCTCCGGAAACCCGAGGCGGCGGCCGCCGGGAAGTCCCGGGGTGGGGAGCGGGGACGCGGGGGGAGGGGAGCGCCGCCCGCAGAGACGCCGCGGCCGGAGCGGGCAAGGGCCCCGAGACCGCCCGCCCCGCCGGCGGGCTGGACTGCGCTGCCTGAGTGGGGGCGTCTTAGCGGGGCTCCCCCGGGCCCCGACCCCGCCTCAGGAACCGGGGCCGGCCGGCAGGACTGGCGTCCCTTTCCGCGGTCCCTGTCCGCCAGCTCCCCCAGCGTCCACTCCCGCGGCACCCAGCCTCCCCCCGCCCCCCCCAGGCCCCTGAGCTGAGCGCTGGATTCTCACCCCTGTGTTCAGCTGCCCCCACCCCAGGGGCTGACGTGACCGTGCCCAGCGTGCAGCCCCCCCCTCAGCGCCTGTCTCGTCTGTACCCTCCTTTCTGAGGGGGGGGTCGGTTGTCTCCCAGACTTAGGCCACGTCCGAACGCCCCTCCCTGTGGCCACTGACCCGGGCCTCCCGCATCCAGGAGCAGAGAGGCGGTCCCAGGGGTCCCCCTTGGTCCCTGTGCACCCCTCAGGGAGCACTGGGGAGCCTGCTCCGGGCACTTGCGAGTCCGCCTGCCGGCTGGCGCCTGTCCAGCTTACACCCCCATGTGTCCTTCTAAACCCTGCCTGGGCCTCCCCACTCCGTCCAAGACGCGCGCCTGACCCCGGGGGTGGAGGGCGCCGCCCCCAGCTCCCAGCCCTCGACTCCTCTGCGGGCGTCATCCTTTCACGGGTCACACCCCGGGCGCCGGGGTTTCTGAAGCGCAGAGCCCCGTGCCCCCTCCCTCACCCTCCCCAGCCCGGTGACCCTGGTCCGAGCGGGGGTGGGGTAACAGGATCCCCCGAGCCCCCGCCCGCCCTCTGTGCCCTGCGCCGTGAATCAGCAGCTCCAGCCCGGCCAGGGCAGCTTTACACCTGGGGCGCCGCTGGTGATGCTGGGCGCCCGGGGCTGGGGATGGTCGGCGGGGGCAGCCTGGGGTGGCTCTCTGCCCCCGAGCCCTTCACGCCCAGGGCTGCCGGCGGCGCTCCACCTGCCTCCTCCGGGAAGCCCCCCGCTGGCCTCCTTTATTCCTGCCGCGGGGCCCCAGGGCCCAGCAGGCTTCCCCTTGGGTCTGACCCCCAGATGGGGCACGTCCCAGTTCTGCCCCCCCCCCCCGCCCCAGGACTCGGCACAGCTTGCTCTCCAGGGGTTTCCCAGAACCTGAAGCCCAGCAGCTATGCTACCCAGGCCCCTGGAGGTTCAGCTCCCAGATGGTCTCCACCCCCAAGGCCCTGGGCAAGGGTGCGGAGCGTCCCTGTGCTGCAGACACTGCCTGCCGGTGCCTGGGGACCAGGCCCTCCCCGACCTGCGCTGCACTTGCTCAGCATGTCCCCCCCCAGCTCCCCCTCCCCCCCGCTGTGCCCAGAGCGGAAGTGGCTCTTTCCCCATTAACCAGGAAGGAAAGCGTTTCCTCACCCCATCCAGCTTCCAGCAAGAGCAGGCCTTGGCTCCCAGAAACCTCTCAACTCTGCCCCCCTCCTCTGCAGCCTCCCTGACCACTGGGTGAAGGGGCAGGTCTGCCAGAGCGGGGGTTGATCCGTGGAAGGCCGTCCCACCCTGCCCTGCCCCCGAGAGCCCCGGCCTGGGTGGAGCAGGGAGGGGGCTGCCGGTGGCCGCTTGTCTGACTGGGACCAAAGGGACCTGGCCGGCACAGGGGCCTGGTGCCCCCTGGCCAGAGCAGGGTGTGGCGCGTGGAGATGGGGCCGCCCTCCAGGCAGCGGGGCAGCGGGCGGGCGCCTGGGACGGGAGCCGAGCGAGAGGCAACCTCCTTTACTGAGACTTTGCTGCAGGCACTTAACAGTCAGACCGCCCTGCGTCCCGCGAGGTAGGAGGCCACCAACTGACACCTGACGCCGCCACGGGACAGAGGAGACCCACACCCCCAACATATCCGGAGCGTCTGGAGTGGGGTCCTGTCCTGCGGTGACCAGGTCAGCTCCACTCTGGAAGGAGGGAGAACCCGGCCGACCCCCAGGGCAGAGCACCCCAGCTCTCGGCAGGCAGAGGCTTCTGCATCGGCCCCCAGCCCCGCTCCGGGGTCCAAGTCCCAGTCTGCCTCCGTGGGGGCCAGCCCCCGAGCGCCCGCCAGCTCCCCTCTGGCTGGCTCCATGACCTGGTGCTTCAGGAACCCAGGACAGCGCCCTGGCTTGGGTTCCCGGGGCTGTCCCTTGCTGACCTGAGCCCCTCGTGTGGGCTACAATGCACGCCCCGGGCATCAGGCGCTGGGGGAGGGGAGCCAAGCAGCTATGCCCACTTGGGCCTCCTGCTGGCTGCAGCCGCTGGCCCCTGGCGCCTTCATATGCCTTGATGTGTAAATGCCAGGGCACACATGCCACACAACACAGGGAGCCCGTGGCTCCAGGCAGAGTCCTATTTGACACTCGGTGGCTGTCCCCACCCTGCCACCCCCCAGGGGAGACCCTGTCCAGCTCTCAGGCCTTTGGGTCTCAGCATTTCTCAGGGGAGCCCCCCAGTTCCAGGCTGAGCAGCTTGAACCACTGAGGCCCCTCCCTGTGTCTCCAAGGGGCCTCGGTCCCAACGCTGCGCCCCCAGAGGCAGCTGGCTGGGACTGGGATCTGCAGGCAGACCCACTGCCCGGGGAACCCCGAAGCACCCAGGCCCCCAGTGCGGCCCCAAGGAAGGTCCTGGACGCTGAGAGGCGGGTGAAGGGCCAAGGACGTGCAGGACACTCCGGCCAGGCTTCTCCGCCTGCGGCTTGCGCACGGGCCCACGGTGATGCACTCAGACGTGCGCGGACTCCCGCCAGGAGCAGCATGCAGGCCAAGGGTCCCAGGCCAGGGCCAAGTGGCGGGAGGCGGCCCCCGTGGGCCCCCGGCGGGCTGAGGAATGGGGTGGGCGGGCCCGGGCCCCGCTTGAGCTCCGGCGCGGCTCACTGCTCCATGTCCAGGCAGCCCGGCGGCTGCGGCGGCTCCGGGGGCTTGAAGCTGAGCACCTCCTGGTAGGTGAGTTCTGGAGGGCGAGGGCAAGGGGAGCTCCTGCCGCCACCGTCCGGCTCCCCCCACCCCTGCCCGGGGCCAGCCACCCGCTCCGGCCACCACCCTCTGAGGGCGGCCTCGGCCGGGCCCCCTCCAGCGCGCGCCCTGTGCTGCCCTTGCTCTGCCAGAGGCGCCAACCCCTCTCCGCCTGCCCTGCCCTGGCGTCGAGGGGCGTGCGGTGCCCTCCCCGAGCACTGGGAGGATGAGCCAGGGCACCCTGTGCAGGACACGGGCGACGCCCGGCCTCCCCGGGAAGACAGCCCTCGGCTGCGGGGCGCCGCCCCCGCCCCCACTTCTCGCGGCTGCCCGGCCCACCCTTCCACTCCTCCACGGTGCGTTCCTTCGCCTCCACGCTTTCGTCGTAGGGCTCGGCCTCAGGCTCGTCGTCCGGGTCGTGGTACTGGCTGAAGTAGGCATGGGCCAGGGCCTCCGCTGCGCTGACCCTCTGGTCGCTGTCCAGCACCAGCATCCTGCCCAGGAGGTCCACGGCTGCAGCGCGGCCCGGAGGGAAGCGGGGCCGGGGGTCAGCGCCGAACCCGCGGCCGGACGTGGAGCCCAGCCCAGACCCAGGGCCCGCCCTCACCCAGCGGGTTGGCTCCGCGGAAGATGCTCCTGAGGTCCTTCTGGGGCATGGGCGGCAGGGACTGGATGTAGGTCCGGGCCTGCGGGGAGGGGGAGGCCCGGGGGCGGCTCACGCCCTGCCTCCCCAGCGCCGGGCCAGGCAGGGCCTTGACGAGAGAAGCCCCCACGCCGATTCACTCCCCGCGGCCCGGGCCGGGGCCGCCCCTCCAGGGCGCAGCTGCGGGCGCTGTGACTCCGCCTTCGCTGTCCCACATGCCAGGACCGTTGCCCCGCTCACCTGCTTCCCTCGAGGGGCCGGGCGCAGCCGCGGGCTCCGTTCCACGGCGGCCCGTGCTGCCCACAGGGGCCTGGTGCCCGCGACACCACCCCTCCCACAGAGCGCGGGGGGCGGGGGGCGGGAAGGGGCAGGCCTGCCGACCCGAGGCGCTGGCGACTCACGTGTTCCGACGATATCTTGGCCAGAACCTCAGGGCTGGGCGTGCCCACCACCTCCATGATGCGCTTCAGCTGATCGATATCTGCCTGGCTCAGGAAACGCCCGCTGGCCTGGCGTGAGCCCTCCTCAGGCCCCCAGACCCCCGACCTTGGGGCACGGCCCAGAGCCTGCCCTCGAGAAGGAAGGGATCCTGGCCCAACCCCCTCCGCCCAGGGCCAAGGATACAGTCATTTCCCGGGAAGAGAGCTTTTCCTTGGAGCAGCTCGGCCATGATGCAGCCCACAGACCAGATGTCCACTGCTGGGGGTGGAGTCTCCATCAGTCTGTGCACCCCACGTCCCTCCTCAGAAAATGGGGGGCCTGCCCGGACTGTACCAGCCCACAGCCCCCAGTCGCACCTAGGTGCCCTCCTCGAGATGGAACCCCGGGTGTGGGGGGGCCCCAGACCCCATGCTCTGCTCTCTGAAGGCCAGTTTCTGAATGCAGGCCCAGGCTTCGGGTCCCCCAGCATGGGGGCCCCGGGCCTCGGCTCTGCCCACCCACCTGGGCCCCCGGGGGCCAGCGTCACCTGTCTGGTTGTAGTGCATCCAGTTGAGCATGATCTCAGGGGCGCGGTACCAGCGTGTGGCCACGTAGCCGGTCATCTCCTCCTCTGCCTGGCGGGCCAGCCCGAAGTCCAGGATCTGGAGCCGGCACCGCGGTCAGCGCGCCGCGCGCCGCCTCCGGCCGTGCTCCCCCCGCCAAGCACTCACCCTGAGCTCGCAGTCCTCGTTCACGGCCACGTTGCTGGGCTTCAGGTCCTGCGGGGGGCGGGGGGCCGGGCTCAGGGCTGGGTCCGGCTGGGCGGGGGTGGCCCTGCGGAGCCCGGCCCCCCCCCGCCCCTGCACCTACCCGGTGGATGATCCCGGCCGAGTGGATGTACTGCGAGGGGGGAGGATGGAGGTCAGGAGCCGCCCACACCGCGGCGCCGCCCGGCTGCCCCCGCCCGCGCCCACCTTCAGCCCGCGCAGCAGCTGGTACACGAGGAACTGAACGTGCTCGTCGCTCAGCGCTTGGCACTTGACGATGTTGTTCAGGTCGGCGCCCATCAGGGTGGTCACCAGGTACCTGGGCGGGGGCGGCGATCAGGCCCCAGCCCTGCGGCCCCCGCCCCGCCCCGTGCCTCGTGCCGCTTACACTTCGCTGAAGTCCTCTATGGAGGTGGCTGGGGTGAAGACGTCCAGCAGCCCGATGACCTGGCGGGAGGGGTCAGGATGGCGGTCCAGCCCGGCCTGCCCCCGCACCCCCCACACCGTGCGCCCCCGCAGGGAGCTCCGGCTCACGTTCTCGTGCTTCAGGTGCTTGAGCAGCCGAAGCTCCCGGTAGGTCCTCCGCGCGTGGATCAGCGACTGGAAGGGGCGCGACAGCTTCTTCACCGCCACCTTCTGGCCAAGCCGCGTGTCGTAGGCCGAGCTGCAAGGCAGCGGGTGAGGCGACGGGGAGGCGTTCCGCCCAGGCGCTCCGCCCTCTCCTCCGCGGGGAAGGGCCCTCTCCGCCACCCCTGCTCGCCCACCACTCTGCCCCCACAGGCGCCTGCTCCAGCGGACCCCTCGGGGCTGGGCCGCCATCCAGCTGCCGCCTCAGGTCCCCAGGGACGAGGCCGTGCCCGACTCGTCCTCTGGTCCCCTCAGGTCCTGCTCCTTCCTCCAGAAGCAGGGCGCCCTCCAGCCCACCCCTTTCCCCAGACGCCCCTAACACGCAGGGCCAGCCTGCGCCACGGGGGAGCCCCCGGCGGGACCTGGATGTTGTTGTCCCCGCACCCCGGTGACTCTCACCCCGACCCCGGAGTGAGGCTGGCCAGGGTGAGTGGCGGTAACACGCCAGGGAAACAGCCGTCCCCACAGCACGCGGTTCCCCCACCCCCACGGGCCATGGGTCCAGGAGGCTCCTCCAAAGCCTTTGGGTATTCAAAACATGGAAGCAAAACTGGGATCGTTACTTTTAACAGTGAGAAACCAGGCACTAGGAGACACCCAGCAGGGGGCGGTGTCTGCACCCACATGCCTCCCCTGGCCGGACCCCAACGTGCCCAGGTCCTGACCCTCCGCCCCACTGCCACCTCCGCACCTGCTCCTCTCGGGGGATTCCAGTCGCTGGCACCTTCGCACCCGCCAGCCGCCCAGTCGCCTCCCCCACCCTCCCCTGTCCCGCTGTGCGCAGGATGAGGGACCTGCCGGAAATGTCTCCTGTGCCCGGTGCCCCCTCTAGCTGATGCCTCCCCACCTTGCCACTGCACCTCCTGGCTCTGGGGTCTTGTCTCCCCCACGCGTGAGCGGAGTCCACACAGTCCCGGGAGCTGCTCCTGCAAGACCAGGGGTGCTCCTGGGCCCAGGTGGGGGCGGAGGGAAGGCAGGTAGGTGCCTGGGGCGTCTGCCCCCTTCCCCTTGCCTGTCACCAGCTGGGGAAGGTCCGAGCCATTCCCCAGCCGGAAGCGGGGGTGGCCCTCAGGTGAAGCAGCAGACCCTCGTGCCCGATTGTGTCTGTGCAACCCAGTGACGGCGTCACCAGAGAAACGTGGAGGCCAGGAGAGGGCAGGGCCTGCCTGCGACGTCCAGCTCCGCCCGTCTGAGTGCAGAGGCGAGGCCCGGGCTGCCCTGGGGAAGCTGATGCTCACTAGGGACACCCCAAGGCAGGTCACAGCCCCAGCAGGCGCCCCAGCGGGCCTCCCGGGCTGTCCCTGACCATCCTCTTGCCCTGGGCGTCTTAGAGAGGAGACAGACCTGTGGCTGGAATGCCCGGACCGCACAGCCGCGAGGTCAGAGGCCCAGGGACCTCAAGCTCCTGCCCCAGGCTCCAGCTCCAGGCCTCGGGGAGGTCCCGTTCTCGACGCTCTGCCAGGGCCTGGAGCAATGCCCTTCCCCTGGGGCGGCCTGGCGTCCCCGCCCCGACCCCTGCGGTGGGCGGCCGCCACCTGGCACCGGCCTTGGTGAGGAGCCTGCTCGGTGCTGTGGGAGGGGCACCTCCGAACACGCACACCCCCATCAGCAGCCCGCCAGCGCTGCAGCTGACGCCAGGGCTCCTTGCACCCACCTCACCCTCAGCCCCTACGGCCTCTGCACCCCTCCCCCCGCAGGGACAGGCCTCAGCCGGATGGGACCCCGTTCCCGCTTCCAGGCTGCATCCTCCGTCTGGGCCTCAGGGCCTAGCTACAGGGCTGTGGGCTGAGCTCTCCTATTTGGGGCGAAACAGGGTGCGGTGCACAACCCCGAGGGATTGTAGGGGTCACGGTAGCCGCCTTTTCTGAGGCCGAAACCCCGTCCAAAGTCTGGGATCCCTTACAAAATGGGAGGTGGAGGCAGGGCCCGGGGAAGGCTGAGGCCACCCTGAGGGGAGGGCTCTTGCCCTCAGCCTAGGCTTTTCTTCTTCAAACAAAAGTACAACCCCTGTAGGGCGGGGGCATCCGCCTGACCCCGGGGCTGCCTGACCCCTGACCTGGAGCGCCCCAGAGGCGAGCTCGGGTGGTTTGGGGCCCAGGAGACCCGCCCTGCCCCCGGCTGTGACGCCGCAGGATTAGGGCCTGGTGGGGACACTCCGGGTGGACGGGGCAGAAGGACGACCCTTCTCCTCGCCTCGGAGCGGCGTCCGGTCGGCAAGTTTCCCCAGGGCCCGCACCGCCATTCATTCCCCCGCAGCGCCACCCGCCACCCGCGCCGAGCCCGGGGCTCCCGGACCCCGCCCCGCCCCGCCCGCCCGCCCCTACCAGACGGAGCCGTAGGCGCCCGAGCCCACCGGGCGCAGCCCCCGCAGCCGCTGCGGCACCTCCCACACCGTCTTGTTCAGCTCCTGCCGGTAGAAGCCGGCGCGCGGGCCGGACATGTCCGCCGCGCCCCCCGCCGCGCTGGAGCGCGAGCCGGGCGCTCGGAGGGCGGCGCGCGGGGCGGGGCCGGCGAGGGGTTCCCGGGGACGAGGCGGCTTCCTGCGCCTCCAAGGCGCGCCGAGCGGAAACCGGCCCTCCGCGCTCCTCCCGGGGCGGTCCCGGGAGCGCGGGAGGCGGCGGGGAGGGCGGGGGCGGCCAGGGTCCGATCTCCCGGGGCCCACGCACCTCCCCAAATACCCGCCCCCGCTCGGTCCCGGCCCGGGCGCCGCCGATCTAGGCCGCCGCCTCCACCTGTCCTCGCCGCCCCTCCCGCCGCGCACCCCCTCCCCCAGCGTCTCCCACAAAACCAAGACGCCAGGGCGCACCATCATCACCATGGAAAGTGACACCCAATGCAACCAGGCGCCAGGTCGGGAGCATCTGCGGCGGGCAGATGGCGTCTCGGTCCCGGGCCGCCGCCCCGGCTCTGATGGCGGCCGCCCAGCGCCCCCCGGGGCAACGGTGACCGCCCCGCCGGGGCTCCGGACCTGCCCTTCAGGACCAGGGACAGCGGCCGCGCCAGGGGCCCTGGGGGTGTTGTGCCCACAAGGAACTTTCCCCAAATGGATCTTCTTCGGTGCCTGGTGCCCTCCCTCCTCCAGGAAGCCGGCCCTGACTTTCCCAGGCACCGGGGAGCCCCGCTAATCTGCACGCGCGGCCCCCGGGGGCTGCGAGCTCCGCCCGCCCCGCCCTGTGCGCTGCGCTCCCGCAGCTCAGTCCCCGACCCGCAGGGCGGCCGCGCCGCGCTCCGGGCTCCGGCTGGCGCTTCCCGCTGTGCAGGGGAGAGTCGCCTCCTGACCCCCGCCTTGGGGCAGCCGAGAGATCGAAACAGGCGAAAACCCGGTTTTTATGGAAATCACCTGATGTTTAAATATCGACAACCGAATGAAAATAATACGTGTCCAAGCAGCGCCAGGCGAGGGGACGCGTCTGCCCGAGAATCCGGGCCCCGAGTCCCAGCCGCAGAGGCCGCCCTCGAACGACCTTGGCCCGGCCCGCAGCCGCCCCCGCGCCCGCCCCGGCCCGGCTTCAGTCTCCTCCAGGAGCCGGTCCCTGCCCCCGCCGCCTGCCCTGGGCCTCCTCCAGGGCCCCGCCCGGGGCGCCTTTCTCGGGCGGCCACGGTTTTGTGCGGAGTTAATGAGGCTTCAGCTGAAGCCGGCGGCGGGCGGGGCGGGAGCGGGGCCCGGGCTGTGGGAACCGGCCGCGCGGCCGCCCGCCCGGAGGCCGGCCTTTGTCTGCGCCGCCCGAGAGCGGCGCGCTCCCGCGGCGGCCGGCCCCGCCCCTGCGCAGGTGTGGGGCAAATCGGCGCTCGCCCGGGGGCAGGGGGTCGGCCCCTGCGAGGGAACCCCCTCCCCCGGGGCGGGCCCCCGGAACCCGGGCGGGGAGTGGTCAGCGGCCAGCAGAGCGGAGGGCGTCCCCGGGGGGTTCAGGGGCCCCACGGAGCGGAGCAGAGAGCCTCCTCATCCCGCAAACCTGCCCTGGGCACGCCCAGCCCGTCCCGCGACGCTGGCCCTGGGCGGACAGGTGCCCGGTGTTGCTGCTGCGTTCTGGGGAGGCCTCGGTTCTAGGGGTGCAGGGGAGTAACCAGGGAGAGTTTCTGAGAGGCTGGAGGCAGGGAGAAGCCCCTGGCGGGGTGACACCGGACAGTCCTGCCGCTCAGGACCGGCCGTGACCTCAGGAACGGAAAGGAGGGGGTGGGCACAGCCAGACTGGGGGGCTTGGTTTCCAGGGAGCACTGCTGGGCACATTCAGCGTCACGCAGGCCACCCGGTGACGGTGGCTGTGTCTAGGTGGGACCCCTGAGCCGAGGCTGCGGGGCGGCCGGCACGGCCATCCATTCACCCGCTGCGCCACCCGCCACCTGGGCCGAGCCCGGGTGGTGGCACAGCTGTGAGGGTGGGGGGCTGAGAGGGCCTGAGCCCTGGGCTCCCGCCACCCTCTGCTGGGACTCCTGTCAGCCCTGAAGGTCAGGGGCCCCGCCCTGCTCTCCCTGTGCACTGTCCCCTCCACTGGCCCAGGCCCCCCCTCTCCAGCCCCTCGCCAGGCCGGTTGTCCTTCTCCCTGAGTCACAAATGAACTTCCTCAATTGCTGATCCAGCTGTGCCTGGGGAGGGGCTCGGGCTCCTAACCGGCCGAGGGGTGTGCCGGCAGCGTGGAGGGAGCGGTCGAGGTCGCTGCGGCCGCCTCCCCAAGGACGCATCCTGACCGCTCAAGGCCGGCCGGGCCTGCCCGCCCCGCGCCTCCCAACTCACTGGCCATCCCTCCCCAGGACGGTGTCATGGTCTCAGGGAAGGACGAGACCCTGGGTCCTGCCAAGCGCCTTCCTCCAAGGGCAGCCCCGTGCTGGGCCTGCAGCCTGTCCCCCATCTCCATGCTTCAGAGGGGAGGGGCTCGCACGGACTCCGCCTCTCCTTGCCCGGCTGCCCGGGCGGTGGGGGGGCCGAAGTGGCCTGCGGGGTCCGCTCTGGAAGCCGGGCTGGGACCCCGCCTCCGGCCGAGCTCCGCGCTCCCAGACAGCTCCCCTGCCCTGGCTTCCTGCCTGGCTGGGCCTGAGGAGGGGGGCCTGGGGTGGACAACGGCGCTATTATTTCAGGGGTCCCTGCGTGGAGATGTCCGCTGTGTGCCTAGTACCCCTTCCTTGTGGGAGGCACAGCCCTCGTTCCAAGGGCTTGACTGGGGCCGCCCCCAGGCAGAGGGGCTCACGGACAAGGCCTCCCCCAGCCACAGGGACGCGCCCCAGGCGGAGGAGTCCGGCCAGGGCCGCCTGCCCCCGCGGCCCTGCTGCCGGAGGACGGACCCGCCTGTTGGGAAGAGGTTCAGACACCTGAGCACCTGGACCCACCCAGAGCTGAAGCTGCGCCACCTCTACTTCCTTGTTCTAGAGCCATCAAGTCCCCTTTCTGTTTGGCTGGTGTCTTTTTTTTTTTTTTTTAATTCTCACTGAGCACTGGCTGGTGCGGCTCAGTGGGCTGAGCACCCACCTGAGAACCAAAGGGTCCCCAGTTCTATTCCCCGTGTAGGGCACAGGCCTGGGTTGCCAGCCAGGTCCCCAGTAGGGGGCGCGAGAGGCAACCACACTTGGATGTTTCTCTCCCTCCCCCTCTAAAAATAAATAAATCTAAAAAAAAAAAAAAATTATCCTCACCAGAGGACATGTTTATTGATTTTTCAGAGAAAAACATCAGCCGGTTGCCTCACACACCTGCCCTGACCAGGGATCAAACCTGCAGCCCTTGGTGTACGGGACGACGCTCCAGCCGGTCACTGGGCTAAGGCTCGGGCGGTCCCCTTGGAGCCCAAGGGCTCCGCCAGAGCGGGCCCTGTCTGCCCGGTTTACTGAGGGGTCCCCAGGGCCCAGCACGGTGCACGCTGACTAAGGAGCCCCAGCCCCGGCCGGTGCGGCTCAGTGGGCTGCGCGCCGGCCTGTGACCTGAGAGGTCGCCGGTTCGATTCCTGGTCAGGGCACGTGCCCACATTGTGGGCCAGGTCCCCAGCCGGGGGCGCGTGAGAGGCAACTGATCAGTGTTTCTCTCGTTTTTTCTCCCTCCCTTCCCATCTCTAAAACATAAGTAAAATCTTAAAAATATAAAAATAAGGAGCCCGACACGCTGACGGCATGTGTGAGCATGCACACACGTGTGCCTAATGGCCTCGGGGTGACAGAAAGCGGAGCTCCTGCCCTGCACAGGACCCCCGTGTCGGGAACCCCACTCTCCCCGTCACCAGATCCCCAGACGAGCCCCTACCCCCAGCATCCGCAAGGTGGCACCTGCTCCCAGGTGCGGGCGCTGCGATGGGTCATGGGACAGAGGGGCCACCGCGGTGGCCCCACAGCCTTGCGCAAGGGGACGCAGGGCCCACTGTCCCGAAGCCGCCCCAGCGTCCGGTGCATTCTGCGCACAGGAGGGGCTTCATGCGTGTGCACGGGGGGGGGGGGGCATGCCTGTGAGATGCCCCCATCTCAGGAGGAGGAAACAGGTCCCTGAGGGCTCAGGGGACCCCACTCGGACAACACCGGCACTGGCTCGGTTCTTCGCACCCGCCCCTGTGCCCGTGGCTCTGGGTGGCTCAGCCCAGTCCCCCCACTTCCCCACCTCCTGGCGCCCCCTGCAGCCTGACCCATCCCAGGATCACATCCCGGCCGGGCTGCCCCAGCACCGCCCGCCCTGGACGGCCCGCTTCTCTGGGAGGGACCCTGCGCAGCCTGCGGCGGTGGGCGGCAGTGGTGCCTGCACATACCCCCTCCCCGCAGGGCCCGGCCCAGAGGAACTGGGGTGGGGGGTTGAAGCCACAGAAGCCCACCTGAGGGTGAGGTCTCGGGTCTGAGGGTCAAACAGTGGCCACAGTGGCCGGGGAGGGGGACCGTGAGCCAGACAGGCCTGGAAGGAACCCAGCCAACCAGCAGAGTGAAAAACACAGCTGTATTTGATTTACAATGAACAAGATTTACAAAAAGGGTGGGGGTGTCCTAGCTGGGCTGCTGGCCCCTCAGGCAGGGCAGAGCCTCCAGGACAGCCTGTCTGACAGGCTGAGGCCAGGCCCTCCAGCCTGCTGGGTCCCCTCTGGCCGCCTGGGCCTCGACGTCTGACATCCAGCTTGACCTTTGAGGTGAGGCCTGCAGCAGAGAGCCCACCCAGGGCGCGGGCGCCCCGCGGAGCGGGCCGGGTGAGGTCAGGAAGGCGTCGTACCGCTTTTCTCCTCCCGTCTGGGCGGGCACAGTCTGGGCGCGAGGCCCTGGAGGCTGCAGGCACTCAGAGCCCCCCAGAGGCCAAACCCACGTTTCTGAGGCGGCTGCTGGTGCTCGGGAAGCGGGGCTGAGGCCCGACGGCCCCCCGCGACACAGGGTGGCGCCGGGGGCTAAAGGCACGTTTGCGAAGAGCTCAGGGGACTCCACTCGGAGACAACGCCCAGTGCTGGTTCTTCAGGAGGGGCTGGTGCTGGGGGTGCCGGGCACTGCTGC